CATGCAACTCGCCAGACTTTGCTTTCAGTACCGGTACTCAGTACCGGGCAAGCTTGGAGACTGTTTTTGCCCAAGTCTGAACAGCCAAGATCAAACACAGCCCCCTCAACCCACCGATAAGTACCCAGCAGGTAGCACAGGTAGCATGGACCATGCCAAAGCATTAACTTTCAGGGGTCTTGGCAAGGCATTCCAAAAGGAAATTCGGACAGTCAAAGGCTGTGGTGGCAGCAAGAAGTGGGCATTGCCTGCCGCAGCACTTCCTCGTTTGTCGGGACAATTTTGATGGTGCTCAAAATGCTGGCGGATCTCATCAAGTCAGCAATCCTCTAATTCAGCGGAGTTGGTTTACAGGTGCGTAGCTCCAGAACCACCCTTAGCTGGCAGAGAAGGCGCAGGATGGAGCAACCAATTGTACCCAATCTGTGGATGTAAGAAGCTTGGAGGTGGAGGCTGGGCATGGAACGCTGGAGCTCTGTTTGTCAACAAACAGGCGTCACAGGAGAGCAGAATTTGTCTCTAGAATTGTCAAAGATCAAGACCCGAAGGAGTTCGAAGCCATGACACAGGAAGAAAGCCGATGTGCAAACTAGGATCGCGCCGTGCTGTGTGAGCACGAAGTACATGCTGTGGGGACAAACAAATAAAGGGTGAGGGGAGATGGACCTAGCTAGGTAGAAGTGGCTAGAAGACAATAGTATATGTAGTCCAATCGATACGAAAAATGTGCCGGCAGACAGGAGAAAATGAGTTGTTTGGGCCATCCACTAGCTAGTGTGTGTCAAATCGACTTACGAGCCACTTTTCTTTTGCTACATTTGTTGGTGGCTAGTAGTAACGTTATGCACGCTAACTAACTAACTTATGGAATCCAACTCTCGGCAAAGGCATCCCATTCATTTTCACCGACTTGCTTTCTGGTGAGGGCAATTCCATTTTCAAAGGGAACACCCTCCCAACCAGTTTTCATAAAGTTGCGGATGTTTTGATGGTCATCACCATCAGGGCTGGCCACAACGTCTCTGTAGTATTGTCCCCAGAGCTGGTAATAAGATTTAATAAGCAAAAAGAGAAAGATAGAGCAGTAAAGAAAGAAAAGTGAGACGAAAATTCTTAGAAATCATCCCAATTTCTCTTCTGTCAGTGCTATTCCTTACCTTGAGAGTAAGATCCTTGTCCAAATTCGACAGAGCCGCATAGGACAAGATCTTGGCACTTCCTTCGTTTTCTCCCTGCTTGTTGAGCATGTCACCATTTTTGAATTCGAGCAATTGCGACTCGTAGTGGGTATCAATGAGTTCCATGACATCTTCAAATGTCAAGTCGGATGCATCCATTTCGAGATTGGCATTAAAGATTTCGCACTCATCGGGGATGGTTTCACCGGCGGCACGGATATCTTCCAACATGCGTGCGGGGGCGGCATTCTCGACGGCACCTCCCAGAGCGGTGGTACCATCCCATCCGAATCGGAGTTCTTCCGACTTTTCCGTCTTGGGACGAATTTCGGCATTCAACGCAGTACTAGCAGAGCGGGTGTTGGGAGCAATGGGAGCAAACGCCAAGGCAGGAGCTGCCATCAAGGCGGTGACAAGAGCGGTAGTGTACTTCATGGTGATGGTTTGGTATCCGACAAGAACAAACAAGTTGTGTGGAAGTGGAGCCTGCCAAAAGAAAGATCCATCAAGGTCTCCCAAAAGTTCAACTTGGAAGTGGCGTCAGTCAGCGAGCAAGGCGAGCCGCTCACAAGATGACGTCATTCTCGCGCCAACATGGAAAACCAAACAGGATGAGGTCGCAGCGCTGGTGTTGTACATGTACCGGTAGGTTCATTGACTCATAACACCTCTTCACAAACAGCATCAACCATGAGATTATCTACTTCAGCATTCCTCCTTGCACTGACTCTGGCAGGGACAGTCGAAGGGTTTTTTCCTTCGCTCAACAACAATGCCGCTGCTACCAATACTAAATTGGTCGACGACGTCTCGTTTGTGCCACCCGATACCACCGAGATTTTGGAAGATGCATGTCGCGATACTGCCGCTCGCATGAAGCGGGTGAAAGTCCCCGTTTCAGCGGCCATTAGTCCCAAGGACGGCCAGGTGGGAATTTCCTACGTGCATTGGCCTGCCGTTGCCAAGAAAAAGAATCTTCCTCCCGTCGTGTTGGTGCACGGATTCGATTCGTCCTGTCTGGAATACCGTCGATTGGGATCTCGCTTGGCGGCACAAGGCGTCGACGTCTACGCCGTGGATATTCTCGGATGGGGATATACCCAACTCGAGGATGTGACCGACTTTTCCGCCGCCGCCAAGGTGGAAGCCTTGCAGTCGTTTGTCAACACGGTCATTGGCGAGCAAGCGCCGTATTGCGTGGCCGGAGCCAGTTTGGGAGGTGCCGCCGCCATTGAATTGGCGGCATCATCTAGTAGCGGCGGCGCCTGTCAGGGACTCATTCTGATTGACGCGCAAGGATTCGTCGATGGTGTCGGTCCCATGGCCGCCTTGCCCAAATTCTTGGCACAAGCCGGAGTGGCCGTCCTCAAGAGTGTTCCCTTGCGAAGTTCCGCCAATCAAATGTCCTATTTTGATAAAGAGACATACGCCACCGACGATGCCCTCGCCATTGGACGATTGCACTGTGTCCAACAGGGGGATCTCTGGTCGGATGCCATGGTGTCATTCATGAAATCGGGAGGATTCTCGCCGTCCGCCAAGGTACCCACCATTGACATGCCGGCATTGGTACTCTGGGGACGACAAGATGGTATTTTGGATGGAGAAGAATTTGCCAACAAATTTGTACAAACGCTCCCCAATGCCGAACTCAAATGGATTGAAGAGTGTGGTCATGTGCCACATTTGGAACAACCCGATGTGACGGCCGAGGCCATTGAGGAATTTCTATCTAGCAAAGTGGCGGGATCGTCGTCATCCGAGAAGCAGCAACAAAACGGCAGTCCCACGGATGCCTTGGCGGAAGCAGCGTCCAAACTGTTTCAGTTCAATTAGCTAGTATACATACTTCGTGCATGCGTGCTTCCAAGCTACCGTACCTGCGATACAGATTTTGGTTGTGTATAAATAAGAGCTATAATGGTCACCACCCCGTGATTGATACGGTACCTGCAAGCTTTTACAAAAAATTTGAATGATAGATGATAGGATGCTGGAGCTTATGCATAGAGCTGCGAGCGAGGAACCCGAAGTTAGCCCAAACCGGAGCCCGCCGGTTGTGGATGGCAACCCACGAAAGTATGTTTGAAGAGCACGCCCCAAAAGTTGTCCTGGCCGCTCCTTGCTTTGGTTGGGATCCGCCTAATGCCGTTGCTCCTTTCACACTTTGGATCTGATCCACACTCCACACTCTCCCGACCAAGTTGGAACCAATCAGTGATCAGTGTGGGCTCCGGTGCTGGCCAACGAGCTATTGGTACAGTAAGATAAACAATGCCCAGCTTGGACGAATGATTCAATCAATCATCCTGCAAAGGATTAGTCTTACACGAGCCCAATTGCTGGCAGCTTTCTCATGGGATGTCCAGATAATTTGAAACAAAATGACAAGAAAACGGAAACACTGTCTTCAAAGAATGGTACTAAGTTACTCCATCAGCTGTCTGGAAGTCTAGTGAGATTCTCTGTGCGAGGATACATGTCACATGCACTACTGTACTCACAAGCAATCAGTATTCGCACTGTTGCATCGCCTCTTTCACTGCTTTCGTCAGCCACGCGGTGCTGGTCACTTCAAGCACTAAAAGTACATGCCGGTAACGAGGATCGCAGCTGCAACCAATGGTGCCGAGGTATACTGAAGCTGCGAGCAGCCGCTCTCTGGGGGTGTCTTTTCGTAGGATTTCGCCACTTGAAATGCTTCACCGCTGCGATCCTCGAAGAACTCCTGTTCATCTTCAAAGTCCTCTTCCTCGTCGCACTCGTCTTCGCAGATAGCCCTTTCAGTTGCAATGTACTGAGCGCTCAGATCCTTTGTCACGCACAAGAAGTCGTCACCCTCAAAGCCCACAAGTGTAGAATCTTCCGACCACATTTCCACACCTTGCATACCATCATCGGTTTCGCAAGGGCATCCACACTCTCCAAACTCCTCCTCCTCTTCATCTTCTTCCTCTTCTGGGTCTTCCTCTGTTGCATTCAAACCGGTTCAATGAAAGGCAAGTTCATCAGAACAAGTGTGACTTGAATTGAACACTGGAGATGGCTTGTCAACGGCAGAGTGCAAAGTTTGGCAGACGTACCTTCTTCGTCTTCGTCGCCTTCTCCCTCGCCATCTTCGTCTCCCTCTTCTCCTTCGTCGCCTTCGCCTCCGTCTTCTCCTTCGCCATCCTCGTCTCCGCCTTCTTCGTCCTCTCCCTCTTCACCGTCTTCGTCTCCATCTCCTTCGCCATCTTCGTCTTCTTCTCCCTCACCATCTTCATCTTCGTCTCCGTCTTCTCCTTCACCTTCTTCGTCTTCTCCTCCATCTTCGTTTCCATCTTCGTTTCCGTCCTCGTCTTCGTCCTCGCCGTCGCCCGGGAAGAACGACGGGTAAGGCGACGGAGACAACGTCGTCGCGGCAGTTGGTGGTAAAAGAGCGGCGGGACCAGAGCACGCAACAAAGTTGGGGCCACCAGGCAACGTACCCACCACGGTATCCACCTCTTCATCCGTTATGGCCTTCATGTCGATCGGAGGCGGTTGGATGTCTCGTAGCTTATTCATCAAGCTGGCATCTCCGAAGTCGCAGCCTGGGTCGGAGCACTTGGGGCCGTCGCGAAAGGTCAAATGCTCTTCACAAAAAGCGTCAGGACTGGAATCAAGAGAATCATTCGAGCAGTTATCCAATACACGTTGCAAGACTTGGTCGTCCCAGCCGCTGACGTAGTCCGCGTGGAAGGTTTGGGTCATATCTGAAAAAACATGACAACCTCCTTTGTACGGCATGATGCGGAAGAAGAAGATAATCTGAGGGAGACGAACGGGATGACTCGAAGGGCACGGACCATCCACTTCGCCATTCGTAGTATATGCCACATGTTCGCGACCGTTAGCGCTGCTCAAGTTTTCACCATCCCAACAATTTGGGAACTTCATGGACGCCTCGAGCTCGTCGCAACTAGTGGTTGGGAAAAAGTTGATGTTGCCAAAACTGGCTGGACAAGCCGCAAGATTGGAGGGACGTGAGTTCACACACTCTGCTTCCGCCATCGAGAACGCGCCTTGGTCGGGCATGCCACCAATCATTTGGAACCCGTTTGGAAACGCGGTGGCTTGTCCGGTGATCCAAACGTAGTATGCAGATGTTTGGGCCATGGCTTCGCGACGAAAGGTATTGCTGGTTTCGTCGTAGGAATAGATGGAGGGATGCCAATACAGAGATTTGTTCTCCACCACGTTGCCAGTGTTCTGATCATCGGTCACACCACGGAGGGCATCGTAGTCCGTGGAAGCTGGGTGAGGGAGGACCTGAGCTCCGTAGAAAGAGTGGACGTGCTGGAAAGTATCGAAAGAGGATGATTGTTGGTGTGAGGGCTCGTCACGATGGCATAGAGTGAAGATTCTTTTCCAGCACTTACGCCACTGAGGCAAGTTTTGCTGAGAATAGGATCAGTACGAACGTGCCCGATGGGCAAGCTGACGGTTTTCAGTGGAGGGACAAAAAACGTGAGCAAACGGACCACCGAACGACTTGGCATGCATCAGCTTGATTCACTCACAAGTCCATCTTGATGCTGGTAGCATCGGTCGAGGCCAGGGCCATCAGGAATGAAGAAACGGCGACAGACAACTTCATGATTGCTTTGGGATACTCAGGAGGTGTCGTTGTCATCAGAGAGAAACAAGAAATGTGAGACAAGCACTCTCCCGAGAAAAGATCTTTGCACTGGGACGACATGAGACAGGAGCATGGCTAAGTTTTTCGAAGACCTCTGAAAGGTCCCGTATTAATAGTTCACTTCCAAAGCCGAAGTAAATTGGATACTAGTACTCCCGAGGCATCGACGATTGAATCTGAATGATTCTGAATAAACTTAGCTAAAGTACTATTAATAGTACTATTTTAATAGTAGTATTACTCGAGTACTGGTATGACCCACGTGACGATTCGTTAAATCATATTTACCATCCAACACCAAGATCTGTCAAATCGGCTTCACCACAAGGTAAAAGTCGAGTGCGTACCGGTCCTGGTACTGTACCGTACAACTCACTGGCACCGGCGCTGTGTACCGGTACCGCGCAGTGTACAGTGCTAAAAGTAGCGCTAGTTTGAAGTCGGACGTGTACAAAGTACTCTGCACTTTGCAAGTAACAAAGCAGGATGATCTCAGAGTACATGTAATGCGAGTGGATATCTGCTAGCTTGCTGGACCTAAATGATGGCGGTTGCTATACTTCCGGAGTAATCTAGTGTACGCTAGATGATCTCGTCCGGTCCTGCATGGGGTCAGATATGCCTTTCCTGTGCTGTCGAAGCTACTAGCTAGCTAGGAGGACGTTCAATCCAAACGCCCCTTCAGTTTTGGACTCGGAACCAAGTTTTGAAGGCCAAGACTGGTTCTTCGAGTATCTTTGGGAAGGGTGTAAACACTCGCAGACGCCGCCCTAAAGGGCAGACCACAAGATCCTATACTTGAGTACGGCAGCTATTACGGCACAAATGAAGAGAAGTCTATCAGCTATGAAGAAGTACGATGTACTCGAGTACATTCTACGATGAATCGATTGAATCTATCAGTTTTGGGGGAACGGTTGCCACCAGGGTAACCTCCAAGTGCCAGCTAGTCTTGCCAAACAGTACACATAGAGGGTACCACAGAATAGGTATTGTCGGGTTGGAAATGGGAGACAGATAGGATGACACGTTGCGTCGGACTCACATTTCATGGCTGGCAATCTGGCTACCGGTAGAGCAGGAGAGGATTGGCACTGCCGGGACGCACGGGAGCACTTTCGCAACGTGGAAGTTTTGAGTCGCCTTAGTCGAATCGAGTTTCCGTTGTCATAGCCAAGTCCTCCTCATGAGTGACAGTCGAGAAAGTTGTACGGATAAAACCAAAGTCGCCGATCATTGGGCTCTAAAATACAATACGGCGGGATATCCAAATCACGACAAACACTACGAATTCTCGCTGCCAATTGGAGACATCGAAGCAAAGTCTTTTAAAAGCTCTTTGGCAGAATTGAACAAGCAAGTGACAGGAGACGCCGCCGTGGTGGGAGACCCTAAATTCAATTCGTGGCTACTTCATCCTATCTCTGGTTCCAGATCGGACAAAAGGAAAATGTTGGAGGCAGCAAGGAAAGAAGAAGAAATCGTGCTTTGGGATCAGATGTTTGGTGTGGATCATGAGCAACAAACACAACAAAAACAGGCAAGTTTGGGATCCTTCCCTTTGAAGAAACTACAATTTCAGACCATGCTACATCTCTCAGAATCTAGATTGACAGCTACCATGGGTCGGACAACTGAGACTCTCGCCAGTCTCTCTCTAGCCAATGTGAAGATGACCCCGGCAATTTCTACCGGAGGTGATCCGAGTCAATCTTGCCTGTATCAACATCCATCTTTGACGCACATTCACGTTGCACATTCGATGCTTCCAGACGACAAAGGCACATGGGAGTGTTTGATGAGCCTTCTTCAAGATGCACTGACATGTCCCAACCTCGAGTCTGTCAACATTTCCTTAGGCCCCGTGACGACATTCCAAGAAGTATCTCTGGGAGCCACTCTTCCCGACATGTGGTTGCCGTCTTTGAGATTGAAGCACTTGAAAATTGATCGACCACTCCGCGTGCACAAACGCATTGTGAGTAGGATTTGCAATCGCCTTTATGCACCAGAGAGCCCTTGGAGCGATTCTTGCTGCTGCATGAAACGTTTGCACATGATGAATCAGGCTACCATCCGTTCGATTTCCACAATGTTGGCCAAAAGCAATAGTCTCCAGACACTCTCTCTTCCCGTTTGGCTCCACAATGTTGAGTCTTTTGCCACAGCTTTGACCACCAATAGATCTCTCCAGAGCTTACAGCTACATCTCGAAGAGTTCCGTGTCAAAAGGAGGCCACCTCAAATCCGGAAGCTTGCTGTTCCAGAGAAACTGTTCTGCAACATGCTGGAGGAGAATCATGCGCTCCAGCATCTTGTTATCACGGGTATTCCCGCATGTGTGTGGGAAAGTGGAACATTGCCAGTGAACTTCTTGCTTCGACTCAACCGAGCTGGACGGAAGCGTTTGCTGAGTTCGGACCCTCCAGCATCGGACGAGCTTTGGTTGCGTGCCATCATCAGCTGCAAGGATGAAACCGATCTCGTTTATTTCTTTCTATCACAGAACCCCGCATTGCTTGAAGGAGTGTGAGCAGAGAAGCACCGTGTTCCCAATCGCCATTGCCTCAACGAGTTTTTAAAATAACCGAAGTGAAGTGAAGACAACACTTTAGAAAGGAAACCAAAATTCTATAAAGTTACATTGGATGGTCTCTTTTTACTTCCTAGCGATAAATCAATCCTTTAGCGGCAGGTCATCTCATCAGAAAGGCGACAAGAAAACCCCGATGGGAAAGATCCCCCTAATACGGCTGCTCTTCATATAAAATTTTCGTGCGTGCGTGCATTCGAGATGCTTGCTTAGATGCGCTTCTGGCTCTCGATGGGGTTGGAGAACTCAGCATCGGGCTTGGCGGTGGCGTATCCCTTGATCAAGCATCCGATGGTTTCTCCGAGAAGCTTGATGTCATCAAGAGGGTTGTTTCCTTGGACCCTCTTGTAAAGGTAGGAGTCGAAGGTGACTTGTTGGACGTACTTGCTGTTGCAAAGTTCGACAAAGGCCTCACGAGCACCGTTGTTGGAGTAGAAGACCTTCTGAAGGGCATCCAAGACAGCGTAGGTGGGTCCGTAAGCTTTGTCGTACTTGGCAATGTAGGTTCGTTCGATGTCGCCTTGGGTGGGGAGCTTCTTTCCTCCGTCCATGAGGGCAACAATTTCTTCGGCGGCCATGCGTCCAGACTTGGCAGCGAAGTAGATACCTTCTCCAGAGCACTTGGTAACATATCCGGCGGCATCACCAACCAAAGCGATACGTCCTTGGACACGACGAGGGCGGTAGTGTTCTGGGATGGGGTGGGCCTCGACCTTGATGATCTTACCTCCGGCAATCTTGTCTCCGGCACGGTCACGGATGGCCTTTTGGTATTGCTTGATGGCAGGACGGTTGAGAACGGTACCGGTTCCAACTCCAACGTGGTCGTACTTGGGGAAGACCCATCCGTAGAAATCGGGGGAGACATCATCACCGACATACATCTCAGCCATCTCCTCGTAGAAAGCCATCTTGTCATCGGGGATCTTGATGCGCTCTTGGAAGGCAATGGCGAAGTTGTAGAGACCGGCATCCATGGCCTTGGCGACACGGGAGTTGGCACCGTCAGCACCAACAATCAAGTCAACATTCATGGTCTTGGGGACACCGGCAGAGGATCCCTCTTGGTATTCTTGGTAGTTGATGGTGTATTGGCTTTCGCTGGTCTTGTGGTCCTCGGGAACATCAATGCTGGTGACCAAACCGTTGACACATTCGGCTCCGTACTCGAAAGCACGGTCCCGGATGTACTTGTCAAGGATTTCACGACGGCACATACCAATGTATTCATCGGGCTTGAGTGTGTCACCGATATCAACCTCAACTCCAGTGGGGGAGATCAAGTTCATCTTGCGGACCTGTAATTTAACCAAAGAACAATTACAATGTTAGAGGACAAAAATATTCATGGCGAGAGGAAAGTCAGAACAGGAGCGGACAAAAAGACTGGTTGCTGTGTTGGAGGTTGGGTAGCATCAGAAAATTTGTTCCTGACACACCACGCACTGCCAGCGAACCAGGCGATCTGGTTGGCTGCTGGCTGATGCTGAGAGTGGAATTTAATAGTTGTTGGTCATGACCATCAACTTTGTTCCGTCCCAACCAAGCAGCCAACAAACCATCTTGTTGCATCCTCCAGATCCAACAGAACAAGAGGATAACAGGCTCCAACATTCCAAACAGTCAAACAGTCAGTTGGCACTGACCCGAGTCAGTCATTTGAAAACCTACCTTACGGTCAACAACAGTCTCGGGAAGGTCGAATTCACCAACCATGCAAAGTGGGATGGCACCTCCGCATGGCTTGGCATTGTCAAGCTTACGTTCGAAAAGAATAGTGTCAATTCCCTTTTCCTGGGCAAAGATCTCGGCAGCACAGGCTCCGGCAGGTCCTCCTCCAACAACAGCGACCTTGTACTTCATGAAAAGGGCGCTATCACTGTTGGCAACACCAGCGGCCACAGGTGTGGTCTTGGTGAAGGAAGAAGTGAAGGCAGAAGCCGTGGAGGCAACTGTGGCAAGGGTAAAGAGGCTGAATTTCATGGTGGAAAGAAACAAAGAGGTAGGTTGTTGTAAAGAAGACACGATCTTTCAGTGATCGAAGAAAAAAAGTGAGTATACCCTTTGATGGCTTTGATGGAAATTGGAAATTGCTCGGTTGCAACGTTCTTTTCTTTTGTTGGAGGAATTGAATTGGAGGAAACCCAAAGACGTGGAACCAACCCAAGGATCTTTGGCGCATTCTCTCGGTCTTGCCCCACATCAACCCAAACGGAACTTCAACTTGATAGGAATCTCACTTATTTGCACAAAAGAAAAATACTGAGATTCCGTCAAATCTTCAACGAACCCGGATTTTCCGCTTCCACGTGAAGCCAAAATCGGGCTCACAACCCTCGAAACCAAAGCAATGAGCCAACAACGTCAGTCTGACCCGCCTAACTTGTTTGGTTGGTTGGTCCGATCTTGGTTTGCGCATCGGCACCACAGCAACCAATTCCTTGGTAGCACGGGAGGGGAGGACGAACTCTTCCAGTACACTTCTACGGAGCAATACTGTAATGTTGTTGGATCCCTTGAGTCAAGTCTCGACCAGAGAGGCGGGAGCAAGCCAACAATCCAGGGCAAGCTGGGGAAGCAGCACGGGATCTTCCGGTCCAATCATGCTGCAGCCAGCTGGTTCAACTCCAGATGGCCCTCCGCGTGTCTTTGGCTTCTCTGCTCCCAATCCTCAAGCCACCAGATCGCTTTTCTCGTTGCAGTAGCAATCTTCTTTGTAAACAAAAGGAACCAACCTTTAGAATAGAGTAAAATTTAAAAGAAAGGTGAACAGACGTGGCTCTGACTTGCAAAGAAGTTGCCATCTTGGTCTCGTTCCTGTTGTGGTGAGAGGGCGGAAAAACCGTCGTCACCCCATCTGCTCGAGATCCGATGAGCGTTGCCATCAGGTTCTGTTCGTTGAAGGCACGAACTGCTAAGATACACGTCTTTCCTTTAGCTAGCTAGCAAGCCAAACACCGAAGCTTTTTTGAGAGAATGATCTATCAAGGGCAACACTTCTGGGGCAGTGGTCAAAATGAAGAAAGAAGCAAAATTGCTGGAGGTTATTGTGCGATTGATTGAGCGCTCCCTGTGCTTCGAAATATGGTTGTTCAAGGGCATGTTCCTCTCTTTCAGTTGAGTCAAGTCTGAAGATTTATCTATGGTTCAATGAATCCAGGCCAGATTTTGCAAATGGTGCTCCCCTTTGACCATTGTCAAGCAACCGGGGCGTCCTGCCGCAGGGGCCGTGCAAGCCAACATGCAAGATCTCGCCAGATACGCATTGATTTTGTCAAACTGAAGGACCGGAGCCAATTGTAAAACCGGATGTGTCCCTGACTGGGTTGCACAAATTGCAGGAAGTGGCGGGCGTGAATAATATCCGAGTCCAATCGGAGCTCTTCAAGGCCATGATCGACCACAGAGTTTTCATGGCAGGGACTATTCTGAAGAGCAGCATTGTCAATCTTGGGGCATTGGTCAAAATGAAGACAGAAGCAAAATGCTGGTGGTTATTGTGAGGTTGACTGAGCGTGCCATGTGCTTCAAAATTTGGTACTGTAGTTTGAGAGCATGTGCATGTAAGCATGTTTCAGTGGAGTCTCAAGATTTTATCTACCAGGTATGGTGGAATGAACTCAGGCCAAATCAATCAGAACAAGACATTACACTACAGACTTCCTCCCGCAAACTATGGCAGAGTATGCGTAGTTACCTCGGGGCCAAAATTCTTTTGCGACCTGAGTGTCTGGGGCATTGGTAAAATGAAGACAGAAGCAAAGTGGTTGGAGTTTATTCCCCTGCTTCGAAGACATCTGGTAAGGATCTTTCAGTCGATTTTGAAGATTCATCTATGGTTGAAAGAATCCAGGCCAAAGCAATCAAAACAAGACAGCACTCTACAGACTTCTCTTACGGTGGGTGGTCACTTCTGGTCCAGGGACCAAAATATCGTTCTGACCAGAGTCTAATGATTGGTCAAAATGAAGACAGAAGCAGAGTGCTGTAGGTAACGAGATTGAATGAGTACGCCCTGTGCTTCGTTTATCCATGGCTGAATGAATCCAGGCCAAAGCAATCAAAACAAGACAGCACATTCCAGACTTCCTCTCTGATACTACGGAGAGGTAGTCACTTCGGGACAAAAATCTTTTTGGGACCAGAGTGTCTGGGGCATTGGTCCCAATCAAAAAAAGAACACAAAATTGCTGTAGGTTTTTGAGAGATCAATTGAGAGAGCCTCCTGTTTCGAAATGTGGTAGTTCAGGGGCATGTGCTTCTTTCAGTATAGCCTCAAGATTCATCCGTGGTTGAATGAACCCAGGCCAAAGAAATCTTAACAGACAGCACACTATAAATTCCTCTCTGATAAATTGGGTGGGGGTGGTTACTTCGGGACGAAAACCAAAAACCAAAATATCTTCTTTGGAGTGAGTTGACGTCTATACTAGTAGACTAAGTGATTGCTATCAGGTTCAATAAACTGTCATTTTCAATGGATCATAAAGCAAGTTGTCGTTCCAAGTTACATACGTGGAAACATCAGATCATTCTGTAAGCTGCATTCCACCCAGATGTTCTACTGACCAATACCTAATACCATACCAGCTAGCTAGACTTGTTTGCTCAATATCTCATAATCAGCAAATTGTCCATGCTGACTGGGACTGTCCTCATCAACACCATATTGTAGACCTTGATAAAAATTCATGGCAGCCTGATTGGCTCGAAATACCGTGAGCATGACTTTGGGCAATTCCATCGAGTGTGCCAAGGTCTCCACAATGGCGGTTAATTTCTTGCCCAATCCCTTGCGTCGAAACTGTTCGACAATTTGTAGCTCGTAGACATATGCCACCACGGCCGTGGGTTCGTCTTCGTCATCGTATTCCAATCGGTAATGACAAAATCCCGCCAATTTATCGTCGTCCTCTTTCGAAAGTAACACGAGAAAGCGGGCGCGAGCGTGCAAAAATTCCGTCGTCTTGGTTTCCAAATTGAGACCCCATTCGCTGTTGCGATAATACTCTCCCATGTTGGTTTCAAAGAGCGACAAAAATTCCTCGAGTCGTCGCTTGTCGTTGTCCTTCTTGAGATGGTCCGCATTCCACGAGTGTAACGTCAGATCCTCCAAGTGTCCAGTATTTTCCTTTTCGTTGTCGTCGTCGTCATTGGTGACAGCAGCATTGCTTTTGTTGTTGTTCTTGGGCCACGCATTGGGAGGCAAGTCCAGACCAGCTTTGTTCACCTTTTCCATCTTTTTACGGAGAATCTTGAGTTGCTTGGACTTGACCATGGTGATGATGTACTACGGTAGCTAGTCGAATACGTAGACTTCTACAGGGCCTTCTAAGTAATGCGCGCCGGGTATAATTCAAACCTCTGCCCCCATCGGTACCATTACCCCTAAAGCAAATCGTCTCCAGGAGACGAAATTATTGCTATCTAAAGCCAAAATGGAAGCAACGTGCGATCTTTGAAGGAACGGAAGCCTCGTATGTTGGCGAACACTGCAAACGCAGGGCAGCCGTCACATTTTGGAGCTGAGATCGCAGTCAGCGTCTTGGCAACATGACGAGCTACCCCGGAACGAGAAAGCCCGCTGTGGCTCTCTCTAAGCAACAGGTGCGCAATGGAGATCACTTAGTGATTTTGGAGGTAATGTAGTCTAGGTTCATTGAGATTGGTTATGGAAACTCAACCGACGCCTCACAAATTCCAAGCCCATGGCATGGAATGGATCCATACAGTACAGCACGCACCCGTGGGATGCAGAGGAGTTCCAGGTTCTGTCAACAAGCAACACTTACCTTTAGAAACTGAAAGACAGATAGGAAGGGTCAACGATTGACTTTGTGTTGTTCGTTCGTTCTCAGATATATGCCATTCTCACTGTTGAGAAGCGCTGACCATGGCCGCAGGTGCTACTGGTATCATCAATAGGGATCAAGCATTCTGTTCCAAGGTACTCCGATACACAGCCAACCATGGTCCAGACTTTTGGAGCGAGGAGAACATTCAGAATGTAGTGGCGCAATGGCAGTTGAGTCCAGAAATGGAACAGCATCTCCGTGACATGCAGCATCGAATTGCGGATATCGATCACTTTAAGAACGATCCGCAGTGGCTGACAAGATTCATGGCGGCCCCGTGGGGGTACCACCAAGCCGAGACTATGTTCCGGAAGATGATTGAATGGAGAAAGCAGAACCATGTGGACACCATATTTGACGACTATGTCCCACCCCAGCTCTTGCTAGACTGTGTCCCTTCCGCCATTCTCAAAGATTACGATCGCGAAGGAGATCCAATATATTGCGAACGGGGCGGGTCTGTAGACGCAGTCGGGCTAATGAAAGTCATCTCCAGGGAAGAGATGATACGCTATTGCATCTGGACTCGAGAACGAAATTCCAATGGAGTCTGGCTTAACGATTACGAACGAAGACAAGGAAGACACGTCAGAGGCATCACCATCGTATACGACCTCAAGGGCCTCAACAGTAGGCACCTCAACCCCAAGGGGATCGAGTACTTCAAGGAGATCATGAAGATCACACAGGAGAACTTTCCCAGCCCCATCAAGAGAATGTTCATCATCAGAGCCCCCAGAATCTTTCAGGTCATGTGGAGCATCATCAAACACTTCTTTCCAGCAACGGCACGAGCCAAGATGACATTCCTGGGGAGCACTGGGTACTTGGAAGTGCTTGACAAGTACCTCGACATTAACGTCCTGCCGCCATCAATCTACGAAAAGGGTTCGGGGGATGTAGCAGTGGGCATGATGCAAAGTTTGGATGGAGTAGATTCTGTCCAGGACTACCTTGACAAAGCGTATGGTTCCAAGGTGTCAACCGCAGAGACGGACGAAGAGTCTCTCTCCTCCGATTCTTTCTGTGGCAGTGGTGCTGCCCCAGTACACGGCAAACTTATCTTGCGCGGCAGGTTGAGGAATAGTGGTACCGTGGAGGTGGCTCGTGTGATGCGATAGAATGAAAAGAAGAAGAAAAAGTCATGTATGGATGGAAGGCGGATAAATAGAAGTATATGAAGCGGTTCCATCTTGTTAGTTCGGTCGGTGGATGATGAAAAAAGAGGCCATCAACTGTTGTCAAGCCTGCCCGAGACTCGACATATGACATGAACGGTGCTAAACAAGGCAGATACTGTATGCAGGACACTTGACTTGCCCTCTACTCACTCGTCAACGATGCACTTATTCGCCCACAAGCAAACTCTGCCTCATTTGTCATCAGTTGCAAGTTTGAGATCCAATACGAGAATTAGTACAATGGCCTAAGAGATATAAACTACCTTGTTACAAAACACTCAGACTGACATTGCTGCACTGATCTCCTAGCCATCATGCCAATCTATTCAATAGTTGGCTTGTGGCTGGATCGATCCACCACAGTTTCACATTTCGTACACTTGTCAGTTCAGTTCAAACCGTACTGGTACTCGCTTGGTTTCAACACGAATTGTACATTTTCGCGTCAGAGAGTATGCCCGGGCCTTCCTATCCAAACAACAGTCCAACAACGCGGAGCGAGGTTTCCACTGGTGTGTTTATCACGCTCTTGGTGACCTGCATGAACTCTAGCGTCGTCAGTAGGGGTGCACTCTTACAATTCACAAAAGTTTGTTGTTGTTGCATGCTTGCATTATGCCGCTTCCTTTTGACATTTCACGTCCACTTTGTTGACTAGCATTGAGTCTCTCTCTGCTAGAACCATTCAGCCATCTAGCCATCACATCCAACAAACATGACACCAAACGATCCAATTGCTTGTGTCTGTTACTACCTCGGTGCTTGATAGATCTTGGTATCAAATCCTCCCTTGAGCGCAAGGATCTTTCCATCCGTTTCCGCCACTTCCAAACTAATGCCAAATCCACGATTATCTGCCAGTGTCCGTCCCACCTGTTTCCAACTGTTGCTTTGGTACCATTCCCACACTTCGGCTTTGCCACCATTGTCAGTTGCATACGGCCCGGACACGGCCACTTGATTGCCATCTGCTGTCAAGCTGACACCGGTGTATCGGTTTTCAAAGGTGGCCTTGTTGTTCCATATAAAAACACGATTTTCCATAATGTTCCAAGAGTTGGAATCAGAGGAATATTCCAAGACGACGGCTCCAGCATTGCTCCCAATTGCCAATCGATGATCGGCTGAACTCGCTAGCGAAATACTGCCTCCCAATTCTCGTGGTTCGGGAGTCTCGGTATCGCCATTATTGACTGTTGGCAGAACCAGATCGGGTCCTACTTGATTCCATTCTTCATCAATCCCATTGTACTGGAACACTCGCCCAAATCCACCGTCCGTGGGATTGGAATTGCACGGTGGCGCCTGGGGTGTCCCCACGGCCAATCGAGTGCCAGCGGCATTGAAACTCAGCGTCATTCCAAAATCGTGTTCACCAGGTCCAAAAGAGTTTTGACAAGGAATACAACCAGTATTGCCATTGCAGACTCCCTGGATCATCTTTCCCAGAGGATACCACTTTTTATTGGATGATGATGATAGTTCCATGACTTGCACAAAACTGGCATACCCAAAACTGGTCGAATCATTGCGTGATGCAAATCCCTGCACTTGGGTAATACCAATGGCAAGACGGGTCCCATCCCCAGACAATGCCGTGGCCGATCCCAAAGTTCCTCCCGTGTAAATCTCTTCCGTGTTTGTCATGATCGCGTCAAACGTAGGAACATTGCCCAGTGGAACCCACGCGCCAGTAGTAGCAGTACTATTATTTTCCGTCGTGGTGCTGTTGTCGTCGTAGCGGTAGACAGACACGTAGCCACTTGTCAGATTGCCGTTGTTGCTATTGCTATTGTCGTCGTACCGTGAATTGGGGTATCCAATGGCGATGGTGGTTCCATCCGAGGACATGGATGCCACTTGTCGGGGATAGACCCCACTGACATTGACCAGGGGTCCTGGAATGTAGGAAATGGTGCCGTCAGTGCTGCTTCTGCCATCTTGCGAGACGTATTCTTGTGGATGTCCCTCGTCGTTTCGCTGCAATTCAAAGACTCCCACACGACCTTCTGTGGTGACTGTGGTATTGTCCGTAAAGACTGTAATGCCCAAATTGACCACCAAGAGCCGATCACCAGAAGCACTCAGCGCCACATTTCCTTCGAGAGTGCCACTGTCGTTCCTCCAAAGGCCAGAAGAACCAATGGGTTCCCACAGAACGGGACTCCCATCGCTGGTACCAAAATGAACCGCAAGAGGAATGGCCACGGCACACACAACAATGCACAGGAGACTGCAAAACATGCATTGCTTTTCCCGGTCTTCCATCGGCATGGTGATGAATGATAGTTTGATAGATAGATAGATAGATAGATAGATGGATCCAGAACTGACGATTGGAATGAACTAATGAATGGATCTACTAGCACAGATCAATTGGAGATGACAGATATTATGAGATGGATACTGCAGATGGATGCAGGATCGATAGATCGATGGAACCAAGAACAGATGATGATTGGATCTACTAGCTAGTACAGATCAATTGGAGATGGTAGAGATAAGACGAGAAAGATCTGTACTGCAGTAACGTGGGCTCCGAATTAGCTACAGTACCGGTACCACTATCAAGCCTCCAAGATCAGCATCAGTGGTGGCGGCAACAGAGCCAGAAAGCAGAAGATTAATGATGGAAGTACCAGTACTGTCAATCTTCGGGTACTAGCTAAGTACAGACAGGCCTTGATTGCAGGATAATTGGAGGCATCGAGGCATTCCAAGCAAGGTCATGGTCATTCTTTGCAAGAATTGCTCAGTCGCGATCGAGTGTCAAAGCGTCTGTACGCTACGGTGCAAGACTACTAGCTGGCTGCATGCTGCATGATGTTGTGTTGGTTGATGAAATAGGAGAGCTGTTGTCACCGTGATTTATACCGGTACTATCCAGCGCCATGGAATCTAAGCCCCCATGATCCAGGATGGCACCGGTACGGTATGGTGGAAAGCTGCATCTTCTGGCGCTACATTTCCCTCCAACCAATGGGGATCCCCAAACCACGGAACTAAAAAAACCCGCTCTGCGTCCATTTTCTCTCTAGTAGCTACAGTGTTGCCCACGACACGCTTTCTCCTGACAGCCTTGGCTGTTTGGTTTGTTTGGGTGGGATCAACCCCAAATGGTGCCAGACATACAATATTGATGTCGTTGTGCAGCGATCTTCTAGTAGCTAGGCGATGCCAAGGCAACTTCAAAGTGTTCTGACAGCCACAAGGGCAACTACCAGGGGGTACCGGACAAAGCGGCACATGGCCCCGTTGCGATGTATGTAGGTTGGCCTGGCCCCGGCTGGCTGCCGGAGATAATCAACCTACGATACTCTAACCCCCTTCGCCCAAGAAAAAATGTAGATTGTTGATGGCGTTTTTGGCGTCTTTGGAAAGAATTCTGTTTTGGGATTGCGCCGTAGCTAGAGGTTCTCTAAATCTTCGAAGCATCAATGATTATGTCTTTCAGTAACGCAATCGTACGATTCGACTCAATGGATTAAAAGTTCGGCGATGGTGCTTTGTTGTCATTCTTGTCCAGCCTCGAGATCGAACAGCACCAACACATCGGAACACAACAGCACAAGACCACGGTCAATCACTTCCTTTGTGGCTAGCTAGCTAGTTCGGTTATCGGTAAACATCTGCTTGGAGCGTTAATAAATTAAGAGCATTGTTGTTATTGAATAGAAAGGGAGAAAATGTCTAGGTATTTTCCAACAGCAGCACCAACGAGGGATTTGTCATTAGAGCCAACCACGGTTTCTCCATCGACTTTGGCTCCGACAACGGAAGCTCCATCGACCGCTGCTCCAACCACGGCAACTCCAACTACGATTGCTCCCACTACGATCAAGCCAACAACGGCCGCTCCGACTACGATAGCGCCAACCACAATCGCTCCCACCACAATCGCTCCCACAACACTTGCTCCGTCTACCTTATCACCCTCGACAACACCACCGGCTCCTACCCACCATCACCATTCCAAGGCTCGCGAGATTGAAATTGATTCCACGGCAGTGATTGGATTTGTCCTTGTCTGCTTACTAGCATTGCTGTATCGGAAGCGAAGAAAACTGCCCGGTTATCTATTACAAATTGTGAGTAAAAAGGAAGATGGCATGGCAGCATTGGGACGAGTTTTTGTTTTTCTGGAGATGGTTCTCACCCATTACCTATTTTCTTTTCCATTTCCATTATTATGATTATCTACAATACACAGAAATACTATCTCTGTTGCTGTCGTTTGAGCGATCAAGAAATATTGGACCAACAGGAAGAACATGCCACACTAAATGATTTCATTTTTGATGTGGAAGACAATGAAGAAACGGGGCGCTTGAATGCCAGTCATTATTCCGAACTCACCGAAGATCAGCATACGGAACTATTACCAAGGTTGCCGTTGGAAGTGAGCATCCAATCCGTCTTTCCCGACTTGCTGGGAGACGAAATGGAGAAACAGCCACCAAACAACCAAAATAATCACAACAATTCTCTGGAAGATCCATTGATTCCACCCCGACAAAATGCCGCGTAAGATGATGATCATGGTTGGTTGGGTATATTATACACGCAGTACGGTATGAGTGGAGAAGCCAATGGAGTTCTGAAAGTATCTTAATGAATGACCGGCAATGGTTAGTTCTTGGAAGTGGGAAATGAAATACAGACAACAACACGCAAAGCCGACCTTTTCAAAGTGTGCGTGCAAGGAGTTGACTGCGTGCTTTTTGCATTGCATTGCACAGATCAGATCAGATTAGGCAGGTCATACCATTTTTAGAAAGGAGCAAACTACGCAAGCAACAAAGCATCCGCGATCGACACTCAATCAAGTCACACAGGGAACATTGGCTGTATGATACTTATTTTACATAATTAGAAAGATCACTTTTACTACATGTTGTGGTAGTTGCTGCGTGTTTGCCACACCGCATCTTTAGAAAGTATTGTCGAGGAATACATGATCGTAGGATTGAGCAATGCTTGGCCCACCAATGCACCCACCAAATAACCAAATACAAACACAACTAAAACACGAGAAAATGTATTTTTTCATGCATCTGATACACAACCTATGAGAAAGTAGCTGTGCAACCCGTGTGACATTTAGAAAGAGAAATGAATTTCCGTAAAGACAAACCTAAAATGCGCAAGAATATAATTCTAATATGCAAGGAGAATGTAGCTGTAACACACGAAAATGTAAGATATAGCTCTAATGCGCGAAAAAAGCGAAAATTCAGCTATAACACACAAAAATCTAGCTCTAACACGAAAAATGTAATTCTATCACGCGGCATTGAAGTCAGTTTGCATTACATAATACAAGCAATCTTAAATATGCAAGAATATAGCTCTTGCTCTTGCACAAGTGTGACACGACAACCAACGTATTTCACAAGACAATAATGCAAAAACACGCGACGAGAATATAGCTCTCTTACTTATGTGTGTGCTAAAAAGACATCTTGCTAGCATAGAAGTTTTACACAACAACAAAGTTGAAATATGCGATAATGTATTTCGAAAATACAAGAGTCTAGCTGTAACAAGCGAGAATCTAGCTCAAACATGCGAGAATCTAGCTCTCATGCATGAGAATGTAGCTACCTGTATTATGTGATAATGAGTTGCATGGCATACGAATACAACTATATTACGCGAAATTTAAAAGTAACTTTACAATTCCATATAACATCAAAACTACATTGGTGATAAGTTACCCTGTGTGGCTATTTAGCAACATTATTCGAAGTTTTGCACGACCTTTCGCACGATGTTTTTGCGCGTCTTTTTTACGAAGTTGCACGAAATTTTTGCACGAAGTTTTACAGACATTAAAACAAGAAGATGTGAATATTAATTTTTATTTCATGAGATATTATTTTATTATTTTATTTAGACAACTTAGCCAGTTGGTATTTGGCGATATGAATGATTTTTAAAAGAACATTAAATTGTTTTTGTTTTTCTCATTTAAAAATATTTAAAAATTGATCAAAATTAAATTATTTATTCTTTTTTATTTTTGATATATTTTAATATTTCTGAATATTTTTATTTTCTAGAAAAACTTGCATCTATACCAGAAACATATTTAATATTAAATAAATTAGCTGTATTGTTATAATCTATTTATTTTATGTATTTTGTTACTTTTACTATGTTAATTAGTTTTATTGCCAATAATTAATGAATCATTGTTAAAAAACAGATACCTTGCAGCTGTTTTCCGAAGCCACATTTTAGATTATAAGAACTGCATTTGAGTCTGGCATTGTTTTGGATTCTGGCACTGTTAAAATAGACAATGGTTGTAGCAGAGCTAGTAGCAGTGCTGATGATGGCAGCAACGAGGATGGGTCCATCACGAGGGGACCAATGTCCCTTAATAAACTTCATATGTTGAGTTTTATTAATATTTCCCTGGCTGGCGGGGTCAAATCTCTCTGCCCCCATGTTATCAGTTACCTGGTACTGGTAGCAGCACAGTAGACAAGTGGTCAGCCAAAATTGATTCTATTCATAATCTGTCCGGTGATATCCTCGTAGGGCTGGTACATTTTCTACGTGACAGTTATTTTGCCGGATGAGATGTAAGCGTTGAATCATGAGGAATTGTTCTTCGCATCATGTGTTTCAGTGGTTTCGAATGTGGTTCCCGGAGTTAACGGAAAATCAATCGTGAATTGCATCTCACTGCTTATTTCATAGTAAATTTCGCAAGATTCAACCGTTTTTCAAGACGGTTTCTTTTCCTTGCGCTTTTTCCAAAGATGGATGTCTTAGGATGACGTGTACACAGTAAAATAGTACCAAATAAAATCGCACATCATGGGAAATCACTATAAGAAAAGAAACCTGGCTGGAAAATGACATCTCAGAGACGCTTGGCAAAGTTCTTCACGATTCAACGTACTCGGTTCGTTCCGGCAAATCAATCAGCGACCATGTGTGATGTCACCGATTGAATGTGGCTTATTTGTGGGATTCAATCAACAAAGACCGTATCCACTAGCTACAACCACCCTTTTTCACATTCTATGTCAATAGTATGCTTATTTGTTAATGAGAAGATGATGGAAAATCGAATTTGTTGCTGTTTCTATGGGTTGTTGTCTAACGGAAGGTTAAGAGAGGGTAAACAGTCGGAACGTCTCCCACTCGACCCACGAAACAGGTTCCTTCGATACCACTCCAGTCAATCATTTCCATAAATTTCGAAAAGCAAAACCCAAAAGGCAAAGCTATGCCCTGATCACTATTGCCCCAAAAATGTCACTATCCAACCGGTAAACCTCCACCATGACGCTCCTACCGTTCAGCCATCCTTTTCCATCCATCATGACCACGGCTTATCCTTGCATTTGATTGGCTCCGTTTTGATTTCCTGCCGGTACCAAATTCCCATTTGCATCCCGGACGCACAACACCTGCTGTGGTTGCGGCTGTTGTGGCAAGATTTGTTGTTGTTGCATCTGCATCTGTGGAACAATGATCTGCGGACCGACTTGATTTGCATATTGTTGCTGCAGAAATGTCTGACTAAATCCCATTCCCATCATGGCCGGATTGTACCCCATCATTGGGTATTGCATCATCATTGGCATCTGTGGTTGCATCATCTGCATTTGTGGTTGCATCATCGGCATTTGTTGTGGGACCGCCATCGCCATCTGTGGTTGCATCTGTGGGACCGCCATCATCTGTCCGCTTGCAAAACTTGCCTGACTACCAGCCACACTTGCCGACCCACCACCAATCGCCAATCCAGCGACACTCGCCGACCCAACACCCATCGCCGATCCAGCAACACTCGCCGATCCAGCACCAGCATTGGGAAAAGCGGCAACCGATCCAGCGACATCTCGCCGAGCCAACTCCGCCAAAAGCTCATCTCGCGACATCTTGCTGTGGTCCTTGCTACCTTCGGTCAACTGGGAATTCGCATCTTCATCTTCTTCTTGAGTGGAAACTATCTCCGGAATTTCTGCTGTCGCCGTCTTGGCCTTCTTCTTCTTCTTTCCTTTGGCGGCAGTCTTGGTTCCTCGCTTTTTGGCAGCGGGTTTCTTGGCTCCATCGTCATCGTCGTCGTCTTGAGCTGCGATCGCATCATCTGTCCCACGCAAGGCCTGATGAGCTTTGAACAGACCGTCACTTGTCAAGCGAGCATAAGGAAGTTGACTCTTCTCGCACTTGTGTCGGGCCATCTTCAATCGAGTCTTGAGATCGACGCGAGCTGCATGGAGTTTTGTGATTCCGTACGCTCGCCAACCATGATTGGAAATGTCTTCCCAATTGGTCAAGCCACACATCTTCGCTAGTTCCTTGGTGAACCCATTCAGCTTGTGGTAGCCAAGATTTTTGGTGGTGTCTCCGTGCTTGGCTGGACAAAACCAAACATCACGTTTGGCCTTTGCGGTGTATTCCTTTCGCTGTTTCGTGGTGGCAATCTTGGCGAAGAATTTGACGGCTTCTGGATGACACTTTCCCTTGAAGAAACGAATGACCTTGACCGGACAAAGTTCATCATGCGGATTCTCCATACATTCAATGCAGCGATCATCTTTGTTCAACGCCGATGGATTCACGAGATTGAGTCGGTTGGTCTTGTCTTCCGGGAGAACGAATGCTTCATACTCATTGCCGGCGAGCTCTCCAAGTCTTCGATCATAAACACCTCCATATGTCTCTTCGTGTAAAAGATTCGCCATCTCCTTGCCTCCACGGAAAAGGAAGAAACGACCAAGCACATACAGCAAGACATACAGGAGATGCAGCGGATTCGTCCAGGGTTGGAGTCTACCGTCACGAATCGCTTCACGAATCTTCGCATCCGCATCCCAGTCAATCGCGGATTTGTAATTCTTGACTCCGAACTTGGGATCGCTCTTCCGAATCATGTACCACTTCGTGATCATGAAGCCGTGGAACTGTCCCTTTTCATTGAAATCTTCTTTGTACTTGTATTGGATGCCGCGAGCTTTGAAGAAATGGAACAAGACTTGGATGTACTGATCAAAGACTGTTGGTGCCAACGGTTTGCCCTTGTTTTTTCCACTCTTACAAAGCCATTTCATTCCACACAAGACGAGACAATGATTGAGAATGGTGTGCTTGTCGATGTTCTTGTCTCCACTCACAATATTGAAGAAGGCATAATCGACTATCTTTCCGTTCGCATAGTTGGCTGGTTCCTTCTTCAGAAGATTTGCCAAGATGTCGCCTCCATTTTCGTGGATGGTCGTGAAGAATCGATTCACACAGCGGGTGATTTTGGCGGCATGTTCCTTTGATACTTTCCCTTTGTCTTTGGATTCGGCTAACAACTTGAGGTCTTCCTCCGTCAGTTCCATGGATTCATATTGATTTCCAGCTTCCAAGGCACCAGCAATGGCAGCGGCAGAGTTGAGTGTTGGAGTTGGCTGTGGCTCCTCCACCTGATTTTCTTCATTTTCCAAGGAGACTCTGGCAGGTCGGTTGTTGATTTGAGGAGTTCCATCATTGCCATTTCCTCCACCAAAGTCGATGGTACATTCAAGGGTGGATTGGAAGACGTTTGGATCTGTTGTATCAGCAAAGTCAAGGAGTGTCGCCGCAGCAGTTCCTTGTGTCATTGGTGGTGGAGCAGCTGAGGCGAAGCCAAGTAGTGTTGCCGCGGCGGTTCCCTGAGTCAACGGTGGAGCCACGTCTTCCGTTTCATCTTCATCTTCCTCTTCCTCTTCCTTGTCATCGTCACTACTGGGAGGAGACGTTGCCGGTACAGGAGGAAGGACAAACTCGCCCTCATCGTTCATCATGTCATCGGACATCTTGGCTCACGCTCACGTAGATCCAGTACGGATTCCTACAGGAGTAAATCTTTCGAGTGAATGACCTGCTACTGGAGATGGCTTCTTGTGTCGATAGCCAAATGATGGGCTATTGTTGAGTTTCTTCAATGGAGCAGTATGGGCAGTTACAGTAATGATCTAACAGCTTATGTCTCTCGGATTATCACTGTACAGATTACACACAAATGACGGCCCTCTTCATTGGCAGCCTCGGGTGTCGGCTGCGATCTCGTCTTTGTCTCGGCTTCCAGGCCTTCGGCCTTCCTTTTGCCTCGCCTACAGCCTCGATCTTGCCTCCTCCCTCGTCTTAAGATCTCCGGCCTGCGCGCTACTGTACGCGCCGCACTCGGCTTCGCCTCGGAATTGCGCGTCCATAGCGCGCGGCCGTCGATCTTCAAATCAGCGGGCCGTTTTTATACAAAACGTGTTCCCTGTTTTCTTGTGTTCCCGGGCGTCCTTGAATCCCCCACATCATTACTGTATTATTACACATCTTCATTTGGCTTTCGTTCAGCGAGCTTACCTGGCACATGCTGACAGCTTAGTCAGCTTGTAGTGGTACTGTACCAGTGCTGCGAGAGATCCTCTTCTCATTATTTTCAACTCGTCTTCCGAAAAGAACAATGAGCTCCCAATTCGCCAACGATTGTGGTACTGGTACTGCTAAAGATGCCATTGACTATAGTCAGAACTGGTCCAAGAATATCCAGTTTCATGCCGATACAGTCTTATTTCCCACTTCGGTCGAAGAAGTGATTCAGATTGTCCAAAATCCCCAGTACACCTCTATCAAGGCCTTTGGAACCAGACACTGCTTCAATGACATTGCCGATACTGCCATTCCCCAAAAAGAAAAAGAAAGCACTTTATCATCAGTGGCAAAAAAAAGTGTCCACATTGGAATGGACAAAATGACGCAAATTCACATTATTCTGCCTCCATCCTCGGATGACCACGACGACACACATCCAAACCAAAAAGCATTGGTCCAATTCCAAGCCGGTGTCACCTTCACGCAACTCATGGCAGCCGTGGAAGAAGCGGGATTTGCCCTCTTCAATATGCCATCGCTGCCTCACATTAGCGTCGTGGGGGGCATTCTCACGGGGACCCATGGATCCGGCATTGGGCACGGGATTTTGGCCACCAAAGTTTTCGAAGTCCAAGTGGTGCATGCCAATGGCACGGTTGCCACCTACGACAACAACACGCCGCTTCTTCATTTGGGAGCTTGGGGCGTGGTGGTGTCTGCCACAATGGAATTGGAACCAAGCTACCATGTCGCCAAGGGAATCTATCTGGATCTGCCGTACTCCGTCTTTCTGCAACATATTGACGAACTCTTAGGACCATCTTCGATACAAGCCATGGGTGAATTCACCAGTGTCTTTATGGATTGGAAAGAACCCTGCATGAGTTCCATTTGGGTGGGTAAAAAGTATGATCCATCCACTACTACTCTGCTCAACAGACCCAAACTACCCGAGACTCTGTTTGGTGGTGCGGCCCGTCAAGTGACTCCCGGCACCCAATTCCATCCCGTACCGGGACAAGATCCCGTGGCTTGCATTGCGACGGGATACGGGTCGTGGACGACCAAAGTCAATCACTTTTTGCCCAATCATCCACCCTCTTCGGCCGGAAACGAAATCCAAGCCGAATTTTTTGTCCCCTATCGGCATTTCCAAGCGGCATTGCAAGCACTGTGGGACCATCGGCATGTGTTTGCGCACTTGGTGCAAATCACCGAATTGCGGGCCATGGCACAAGACAATCTACCCCTCAGTCAAGCCAAACACGAAACCGTGGTGGGGATTCATTTTACACTCTTCAAGGTGAATGCCAACGTGCTGAATCCAATACTGGCACAAGTGGAGGCCATTTTAATGCCGTTCGAGTACAAAGTGCATTGGGGGAAATGGTTCGTGGCACGGGGGAAGCAATTGCAGCAACTCTACGACCAGGAAGATGTGGAGGAACTCAGACGCCTCATTCAATTGCATGATCCTCAGGGTCGTTTTAGCAATCGATACATTCAAACTTGCCTTTTGGAGGACGAAGGTCCGTCGCGATCGTCGAGGCTGTGATGATCATATAAACATCGCACAGCATGCCGGTGACTAGCAAAAAGACCGGGAGCTTTCCCCCCCCAGTAGAGACAAGCCAAGCGAGAAAGCATTGTGGTCGGTTGAGACCAAATCAAATTTTGGCAAACACATGTCGTTGTCGGATTGTGCTACAGTATACATCGACCTCCCAGCTATGATACATGTACAACGAAGAAGAGCGGTGTCAGCTGACAGCCATCTATTTATTATCAATATAGTCAATATAGCAGCAAATTGTCACATCCGGATGCCAATAAACATGTTTTGTTGCTTTCGCGAATTAGTTGTTGGATTTTCCGAGGAGTGCGGTATTTTCGTTGGCTGCAACGTTTCCTGGATCTCCATAAAAAGTTTATCACAGAATAGGTTTGCCAGCCACAAAAAGAACACAATTTTAGGATGAATTCCTCCATGGCACACGAAAACAACAACACTGTCAAAATCCTCCAATTTAGTTCTTCTTTGTCTTTTGGGGAGACACTCCTATAAAAAGCAACGAAAACTCAAAAGTTAGCACACAAAAAAAAAGAGTTGCATCCACATGGCTGTTCTGCGTCTTAATAATATTTACCTCCATTGGCATCCTTGGCAATTCCCCTCTTTCGTAGTCCTCCCAAGACTTGGGTGAAGTGAGCCGTGGTCAATGCTTGTGGGATGGTCAACAAAACCCACCCAGCAGTGGCGTGAATCCAAAAGGGGGAGACAATGTCATCGGGGTATCCAATCCATTTGATACCTTGAGCGCAGTATTCTTCGGGTGTTGGCACACTCCAGGATTTGCGCATTTTAGCAAGCTTGGTGGCAACAAAGAAAGGAGCTTGGCACTGGCAAGTGATACCCTTGCCGCTGTACTCGGCATTGAGGGAGCAGGAGAATTTTTCAATGAAAGATTTGCAGGCTCCGTATTCGGCCAAAAGTGGTTGGGTGTATCGTGCAGCAGCAGAACTGAGGTTGACGATGGCACCCTTCTTTCGTTCCACCATGCCCTTCAAAACCATTTCCGTCATCCACACAGTACTATCAACGTTCATGGTCAACAAATGCTGAATTTCTTCCTTGGGCAATTCATGGAAATAGCGAGGGTAGCGGTAACTGGCTCCGACATTGTTGATCAAAACTCCAATTTCAAGACCTTCCAGTTCCTTGGCAATCATATCCCTAGCTTTTGTGTCGAATTTGCCATAATCGCAGACAACGTACTTGACTTCCACACCGTACTTTTTGTCGTCAATTTCCTTTTTGACAGCTTCCAATTTGCTTTCTGTGCGGCTGATAATGACAACATTCACGCCCCTCTTGGCCAATTCAAATGCATAAGCCTTTCCAATTCCATCGGTAGCTCCTGTCACAACAGCCCATTTGCCAAGTTTCGTAAAGTCAATGGCGGGACGAAGGAACGTCTTGTAGGCAGAGATGGCGACCTAAGAAAAGAGGGTCCCAACAGTACATCAAGTTTTAATTAAAAGAGAGAGTGTAAGAAACGTTTTCGTTGTTAGGATGCCCCTTTAACAAAGAAAAAGATACGCAAAACAACGCACAAATCATTGTTTCATACCTTCTTGATGAAGAGAAGGACGACAACACCTCCAATCAAGGCGCAGCCGCTTGTCAGAGGGCTGACTGACTTCAAATCACTGGCAAAGCTCATCATGGACTCCATTATTATCTGCTCAATCATGAAATATAAGGGATATGCAACCAACTCTTTAGCTATTTCCTGCGTCTGACCAAGCAAACCAGTTGGGTGAAAGAATGAATGGTTACACGGTGGGTTTGCTTTCCTGCATCATCACGGCACCGAACCGCTTTGTCATTTATTTGTTGAAGTGGTTTCGTCGCATCTTTGACCACGCACGACAATTTGTGTTATGGTAATTAGAGGTTATCTTCTTCCTCAGTGAGGTAGGTTATCATAAAACGCCGTCCTGCCTGATCCGTACTTAAAGGCCGGTACATTCGTGGATACTTTTTCAGAAGAACAGTTTTTAAGGTTGGGGTGCCACGGAAAGATATCGGGGGATATCTTCGTCATGACTGCTTGTCCATCTCGTTTTTCTTGCTGCTTCCCTCGAGTCCAGTCCATTGCCCATGAAAATAGTCCCCTCTGTACTCACATAGAGATAGCCACTACCGGTACGACCAACTGCGAGCAACAGCCACAGCCAAGTGAGCCAAAGTTTTTTTTCTGTTGGTCTCAAGCCAAGCAACAATCGCAGGAATGAAGAGGCAAATCAACAACACAGAGAAGGGAGGACGCTAGGCAGTATTGCTTGTTTAAGTTGAGATGTGGACAATGAGACAAGTCTGTGAGACTGAGAGAGGGAAGGATCTTCAATCATTGTATTGCCCAGTCTTCATCCATTTAGGCCGATTGCTTGCTCCGCAAAACCTTTTAGGGCAAAGGCAATGTTGGATTTTTCCGTCCCGGTCACACTTCCATCCGCTGTTCGCGAAACTTCTTCAAACGCGCCTGCGTGAATCCCAATAGCTTGTCCATAAAGCGTCTCTTCCACGAGTCCATCCTGGTTTCTGTCTAAGAGAAACACAATGGCGCCGGAGCATCCTCTGAAGGTGTTGATGTCGTGACGGAACTTAAAATTAACAACATGAACACTGAAAGCAAAGGCTTTTTGTGCAACCTGAGAAGCGAGTGCAGGAGAGATGGCTGGATTATCATCGCCTACAGCGTTGAGAGAAATGGCAGCCTTCTCTTTATGTACAAGGCACTCAGGAACACTCATTGGGTGGAACAATGAGTGAGAAGTGCTAGCACATGAAGAACCCGACCTTGTGTCCGCATCATTGTGAGCCATTGTGGACGAGGTGCCACCGTCGTTAGCTATTTGACTACTCATTGCAATTTTCCAATGGTAACAGTCTCCACCAGATCATGATAGCGTGCTTCAAATTGTTGGAGAAGTGGGTGTGACTTACAAGTAGCTCGACTGCGCCTTTCAAGCGTGGAAGCAACAATGACGCGATGGAACAGCTAATCAGCTAGTCTAGCTAATCATATCACGCTGCAAATTCCCACTCCGCCATCAGATCCAGATGATCTGCTTTATACTCAACTCTAAGTATGATGATACATGTGGTAGGTAGAAGCGCCGGCGCCTGTATGAATTGCGTTGGGTGAATTACTTTCTAAAGATAGAGTGTTGCCACAACACGAGAGGGACCATGGCTGTGACATCCAACAAAAAGAAGCAAGAAACAGCTCCAAACTACAAAAGGCTCTCCAAAACACCAGCTCAACAACGAAGCCCTTCATTCTCCCATTCGGGAAGCAATTATTTATCAGATTCGATTCCTGTGCGACTCTGCGAGTTCTGGTTGTTCTTGTCTCGATGTGGGAGGTGGGAGTCGATTGTTGTTGTTTAAGCTCCCATTGTCCTGTGATGCTGTGATGAGAAGCCAGACACAAGCTTCGGTAAATGCAACAATATGTGGTTAATTAATTAATGGCTTGCAGCGGATCAGGCCATAACAACCGACAGCATGCAGCAGCTCATCATGCAGCATTCTGAGAGATGCGGGGGATCCAGTAACGGTGACGCGTGAGTCCTTCACATAATAATTGGCTACGTAGTTGCATACAGGAAACTGAGGACTGCACAAAGACCGGCACAAGATATCGAAGATACATACATTTTCTCACGTCTCACACAGTTTAGCAAACGATTGGAGTGCATTAATTTTTCTTTCTCAACACACCAACCGCACTCAGATCGCTCATTACAGACCACTACCATGAATCGGGCCGAAACACACCACAGCACCACTGCCTTGCCACCAAGCAACTCTCGAATCTCGCGGTCAGCAAGGGTTGCTCGAGGGAGGAGGGACAATAACAATGGTGCAGCTCTGGGATCTCTGAAACGTTGTGCTGAATCATCCGAGGGTGTCAAGAAGTACCAACTTTCTCGTTCGTCCACCAGCCAGCAAGAAAATTCTGATTCATGCAGAAACAACCCAATTGCTAGCTCTAGCTAGCCGGGTCAAGACCGTATCAAGAAAATCCTGCCGTACCACTACGCTTGTCCTTATACCGTATGGCAGTCGGGCCGGTTGGTTGCTGCTCATGGCGCTTGGCTGCCTGTAAACCACGAAACGAAATGACGGATAGTGGATATGGCAGATGAATGTCGCGAATGATGTGTTTGAATGGGCATGTTTGTATCTTGCTCTTCGCTTTTGACCTCATATTATTATAAACTAGTATATACTGTACTTCCTTCCACATCATTCATTTCCTAGCTAGTTGGCTAATAACTTCTTCTGTTTAGCTAACTAGCTAGGGCTGGCTGATTCGTGGGCTAGTCCATGGGAGCAGCAGTGCCTCGGTTGACTGCGTCTGGGATGATGAATTGAAGGTTTATGCGCGGCCCTTTATGGCACTTGACTACTTTCTCTAAAGGCTTTGCCGGTAAAAAAGATGATGCTGTGATTGGTGGTACTTGTACATGTTTTTGTTATATTTTACAAATGTATAGTAGTGAATGGCTGTGAACTTCGTGTCCAGCAAGCAGCATGTAGTAGTCTAGGAAACTTGTCTTCTGGAGACTGGATTTCATGCGGCACGGCAACCTGCGGCTCGTGGCTGGGTGCTGCCGTGGGACAAGATTTTCCTGGATGATGATGATGATTGATAGTTGAGACTCTTGTGGATGGCTGCCGGTTGCTGCTGCTGCACGGTGTTATCCGGCGCCTCGTAGACTTGCAACGCCGCCAGGGCATCCTTGCGGGCCAATTTTGCGGCATCTTCCTCTTGTTTTGTACTGCTAGCTTGGCAGTATTCTCGAATCTGTTCTTGTCGAAGTGCATTAGGTGCTTCTTTTTGAACCTTCAAGAGACCCTCGATGAATTGCCGGTGTCGATCGGAGCGAGTGGGAAGACGAGCGATGAGGCAAGCCTTGTCGCGGATGTGGGCTTCCAATCCGCGCTGACAGTCTTCTTCGTCTTCATCGGAACTGTCAACGGCCATTTTGCCTCTGGCAATACGAGCTGCCATCATGTCGGCCTTGACACTCATCCTCACAAGTGTTTTGCGAGAATACCAAAGTTCGGCTTGGAGCTCATCGGTCATCTCGTAGTCAGATTCGATGTACTGAGGCCAGATGTCGATTTGAACAGACTTTGTCTTCTTCTGCTGCAGGATTTCCTTCTTGGTGGACTTTTTGCTAGCACGCTTGCTCCAGGAGGTGATACTCATACGCTTGAAAAGGGGCATGTTGATGTCTTTCTATCTATCTATCTATCTATCTATCTGATTTGTGATGAGGCTGAAGAAGATTGTGTCAAAAGAAAAAGCTTCAGAATTGTGAGCAGGATTGGGGCTTTTGAGGTCCAAGGGGGCGATTGTTGATTGTTACTGGCCTTGGCAGGCACTCTGGGCTCTCGGCTCAGTTGCTGTGCTTCTACGTATGCCTTGTTGCGTCGGGCTGTTGCCGAACAACTCTTGCCGGTTTCCAGGCAAGATGGCATAAGCTATGGCATGTCGCTTGGAATCAACACCCCACCGAAATCTTTGAGATGCTTTCTGTCCCAGACGCCACGAGGGCAAACTGCCCACTAGTACATGTCTACACACATCCTGTTCAAATGACACTTCCATAAACTGTATAGATCATTGTTAAGATATCTTTTGCGTTAAATCATGAGGTGACAATGGTACCACCGCAGAAGCTGAGTTCCAGATGATCGACAAGCAACCTTCGCATATCACTTAGAACCTGTTCTCCAACTAAGTCGCCTAAGCGCCCAAGCTGGATCCTTTCGAGGGCTGTTCGGGCCTCTTCGCTCCAAAACATCATTGCATAATTCCTGCTCACTGTACACGTATATCGTACGGCATAAAGATACTGTACCGGTACAGTACTCCATGCATACAGTAGAAGTAATGTATTCGAGAACTGGAGTATTGTCCAAATAAATAAAATTTGGATGGACTGGTACAGCCGCTGGTACAGGTCGTCGCTCGGACTTGGTATGGGATTTAGAGATCGAGACCTTTAAGAATTTGATAGTTAAGAAGCCTTTATGTTGCCTTGACAGCTGCATCATTGATAGGGGCTCAACAGCTGCACCATTGGTGATTACCGGTGAGCGGTGAGCAATTCCGTTGAATCATGGATTGCCTGGATGTGCGTACGTGCGTACCGGTAGAAACCATCCCAAGTCAAGTCGCGGTAGAGCCAGTCAACTTCCCTGAACCCTAACGATGGTGGGGGCGCTTGCGGGGTTCATTCTCGTTTGCCTGTGGTCTTGCAACGTTTTTGATCTGGGCTCTAGCTAGCTAGCTAGCTAGCTAGCTGCTATTAGTAGAGCCAGCTATGGGTAGTAGCTAGAGCAGGAACCCTCTCTGGAGCCGGACAAGTTGAAGTCGAACGAGATTTTACTCTGGGCTGAACAAAAGGCATTGGTCTTCTCTCTGTTACAACTGTCCAAACTACGCTCAGTCGGCTTCCTGTGGACTTTCGAAGTCCTTCAACAGGAGCGGACATTCGTGCAAGGTTCTACTGAGGCGTGGCTTTCCCTCACTCTCATGCCTGAGAATGACACTGTCCTCTCTTCCCTCGAGTTCCGTGAATCTCTCCATCTCTGATATGGATTGACCTCCAGATCTCCCACCCAAGATGGCAACAAGAAATAGTTTGGTCTCCACCCTTCCTTTTGATGCCTGTGGCAATCTTCTTCAGCACAACAATAATATTGCATGGTAGCTTGCGAATTTATTCAATATGGCTTTCATTCCCTCTGATGTCTGCAACCAACCCCCTATCACTCTGGGGGACCCATCCTTGGCCACCATTTGGCTCTGCTGGTTCTTCTCATTCTCCTACTCCCTCTGATCCTGTCATCCAAGACCAAGGCAATCGCCTGGTTCGCGGCTGCTGACATCCGGGTACTGATTGTATCTTTGATGTCTCCCTTGTGGATGTTGAGTCCCCTGGTCGCTGTGGTCGTGACATCAATGCCGTTTCCCAGCACGAGAAGGCCAAGAAGGCCAAGCACCTGGCTCCGTGTACTGCACCATACCGGAACTTCACCCCCTTCGTTGTTTCTGCTGGCGGCATCTTTGCTCCTGAAGCTACCACTGTTCTACAATAGCTCCCATAGCTTTTGGCTAAGAGCTGGTCCAAGCCCTACTCTGTGGTTCGTTCCTATGTTCCGGCCCGATTGAGCAGTGCCCTTCCTTGCTCGCACAGCTACGATGTACCTCCGTGGTTCTAGTGTTCCAGCTAATGCGATGAGCTCCCGGCTAGTATTTGTCCTCTCCTCCGTCCCCCTTTCCCTGGCCCCACTGGGATTCTTGTGGTCCTTTCCTCTGTCTGTTGCATCCGGTTGTTTGATTGGGCTCCGGCCCTGCTGCCCTCCACCCCTGGCATTCACTCTCACCCAAAGTAACCTATTTGTTCTACAGAAGGCATTTCACTGAGTAGACGAGGCGAGGAAACTTTGCTACTTTACAATTGTTCAAGCAAAAATCAGCACCCATCTCTCTCTTCACGGTGATCGAAACATCAGCTCAAGGGAGCGGTGATCAGTGTTTGCTTGGTCTACTGATAGACTATTGACTGACCACGAATTGAAAGGATCATCCAACCTACTTTGTGGCAATGGAGTGGATGAAGAGCGGCTCCGCTCCCTTCCGTGCCGCATCACCGTAACCGGTGGTACACTGTACGCTGTGGTCGCATGCCACTTGTTGATCATGGGTACGGACTTGCACGAACGTCCCACCACTGCAAGTCTAGCTTGATACCGGTCGGTAAATAGCTAGCTAGCCAACCATTTTTCAAAGTCATAAAATGACTTGATCGTAGACCCACGGCCTCTACTCAGAGTAGCTCCTGCCGTACCTAGCTGGCTAGAGAAGCTGTTTCACTTTGATGCTTTGATGGAAATTGATAAAAATATCCTTCATTCGCCCCGATAAGCCACATCCTAAGCCCTTGCATTTGCTTGCTAATCACCCCAATAGAGCACAAGAACCAAGATCATACGCCTCTCAGTAAGCCCCAGGTCATTGAAATCATTGAAATTCATAGCTTGTCACACTCGAGGCGTCACTGGTCGTTGGTTGGCCGGTCACGCGTCGCCGCGTTGATGCTACGGTAGTCGGGGGTTGGAATGTGCAAAAGGTAAGCCCATAACATCGTCAGCAAGCGATGCACGGACCGTTTATCAGCCCTGTGGGACGAATCTTGGCTTGAGCTCAACGTTGCACGCCTTCCCGACAGCCAGCGATCTGATCTTTGAAACCTACTACTGTACCGGTAGTTGCAAGTTCCTCGATAGAGCTTTGGCTACGGAGGACCTGGAGGAGCGAAACCGAATCCTCTTGGTGGTGGAGGAACCGGGGATCCATCTGGAAATTTGGGTGCCCCACAGTGTTGGACTTCATAACCTTGATAAGGAATGGGAAACTGTGGTCCATTGGCACAGTCACATCCACAAGTGCTGGGACAAGAGATCAATGTGCAATTTACAACCAAGCCTATCAGTGACCCATTTCGTTTCAAGTCACAAACTTCCTCTGGCATGGGTCCAGAAACATCCGTGCCATTCAGATCCAAATAACGGAGATTGGGGAGCAGCCCAAGCTCCGAAGGAATGGGGCCTGAGATGAGCGGACTTTCATCCACAAAGAAGAGCTCCAAGCTAGGAAAAGAGTGCAGCAGCAAGAAGAAAGGGATTAGCTTGGGAGTCCACTTCCTCATTAGACGTAGTCTTGCTGATTGATGTCACTCACTTTGTCAATCGCCCCAATTCGCTTGGTAGTTTGCCACTGAGCGTTGTGTAGCCAAAATCCAGCATGATAAGATTGGAGAGCGACCCAATAGTGGGAGGGATAGTCCCAGAGAGCATGGTGTGACCCAAATCCAGTTGCTTCAAGTTTGTCAACTCTAAAAAGATGCTGGAAGGAATATACGATTTCAAATCATTTCGCGACCAATGGATTGCTTCCAAGGTCGTAAGGAGCGCAAGCTCAGGAGGGATGGAACCCTCTAATCCTCGTTTGGGCATAAAGATGCTTTGTAATATGGTTCCATTGTTGATAAAGTCCATTGGTGCGGGTGGTCCCAATGGCAGTGGTGCAGCGAGTGCAGATTGATTTCCCGTTCCTTCCAAAGGAGGGCCCAAAGCTGCATCTTCTGGTGATATCCATTCGGACCCTTGAGCAGACGCAGGAGTGGATTGGTTTCCCATTGCTTCAGTTGGAGGGCCCAAAGTGGACCCTAGTGACATTGTCGAGGACTGGTTGCCCATTGGCTCTGTTTTTGGGCCACCTTCATCTTCCTTTTCCTTTGACCAACATTCACATCCAAAGAATGGCGGTCTTCTACCTTCGTCGTATTCTCCCCATTCCTGGCATTCGTTCGGATCATGCGCCTCGATTGCAGCTTCAGCGAAAGAGGACAACTTCCATTGTTCTCCCCCCATTGCATAGTAGATTGTAACCAATGCATAACGTTGTTGTAGACGTTGGGGTGTGTAGTCCGTCAGATTGGGATCATTCAAGAGCCAATTGTAGGCAAGGGCCTGGTTGCTGTCTGGATATGCCTCAATGATTGCCATGGTCAAGTTTGGGAGGTCAATCACATACCCTGATGGAGCCATGGTGGTTGGACTAATGGATTGTGAGGCGTTGTTAGATTCGTGGGGAGTGGAACTTTGTCCAGTGCTAGAAACCCAGGCTGCCACTGCAATGCCAATCATAACCAAGAGGCACACAACTGACCCAATTATGACAACATTTTTCTGCTTGTCACCATCAGCTTCTTCTCGAACTCGATTGAGGTGAGTTGTTGGATTTTGTACAGGTATAGCTAATTCCAGGTTGCTCAAGTGATCGCTGGGTACAGCATAGGCAGCCACAAGACCCTCATCAACATCCCCTCCTTGGGCAATAGGATTATGGCTGCTGGATGGCACGTTTTCCGCCGGGCACGAGGATCGTGCCGTCCATGAAGCATCATCCTCCGTGTTGATACTGACAAAGTCGATTCCTGCCACAAAAACGGCACCTGGGGTCGCAGCTGCACGCGGACGAGGCTGCTCCACGGGTTCAGGTGTCGCTGCAATACCGTTATCGGGTAGCAAACTGAGAAAATGGCTGCTCCCTTTTGTGTTGTTACTCTTAACTTTGGTGGAGTCGGAGGCAGATGGTAGGTCTCCAGGAGCCATAGATTGGACAGTTTGGATCACATTTGCTCTAGCCAGCTTTTCTTCTGCTTTTGCGGAAAAGTTAAAATCCATTCCTGCCACAGTCAGGGCACCTGGAATGACTGCACCAGGAATGACAGAAGCAGGACTTGGAGTGGGTTGCGTTGTCAATGTATCATGGTCAGAGAGCGAAAATTGACTGCTCCCTCTTGTATTGCTACGTGTACTCTCCTCATTGAAGTCGGAGACATCCTTTGGTTTGTAGTGAGGAGCCACTTGGACGCTTTGGATCACCTTTGCTTGATCCAGCTTGTCCTCGGCTTGTGATGGTCCTACAGGTCCTTCGGTAGATGGCATCGTCGTATTATGGTATCTCTCGGAGGCTGGGTCCTCCTCCGTTACGGCCTCTTCGCCGACCTCATCCATTGCGGGTTTTCAGCGCTGGGATTGTGGTCGTTGTGGGTTTTCACAGGGCCGTGGTGGGCGGTGCGGACGCCGTACGGTGTGCCGCTGCGAATTTCTTTCAATCGTTCCATGGCATTTTTTGGACCTAAATTGAGCCAGAGATTTAAAAGTCAAATGACTGTCGAAGTAATTAGCTAAATACAAAACGTCTAGTGAATCCTCAAAACCTCTTGAGCACGTTCCAGTCACACATCAGGGGAAGCTGCAGTGTACCTCAATCGTGCATCATGCGGAAGCTAGGATTTAAAGAAGGGGTTCTCCAAGGGTACTTGGATTTCCAGTGATCATGCTGGAAGGTCACAAATAAATGACGTCACAATTGCGGGTCTTCCACCACCATATTAGTGACTGACTCATTCGTGAACTGACTCATTCTGTTTCAATCGAAGGAGGCATGTCATCTTCACAAACCAAAGCAAACTAGCAAACCCTTTGGCTGTGAATACCATAGCTATCGATTTCAATCGCATCATACTGTGTATATCAAAAGCAACAGACTCATGATTCCAGCATTGGCTGCCCGCATCACAGTTGGCATTTTTGCGGCCTTGGGGACTCTTCGCTTTGGCACCGGAATCTACTTTTGGCGTGTCACCGAGGCGCTGGAGAGGCCCACTTACACCGTTGTAGAAAAGCTCGACAATGGCGTAGAGATTCGCCAGTACGAACCCTACTTGATTGCTGAGACGACAGTCGACGGCGTTGGCTTCAAGAAACCAACATCAGACGGCTTTCGTGCCTGTGCCGGTTACATTTTTGGCAAGAATAAACCTCAAGGTGCATCCTGGTTTGCTTCCAAAGGAGCAGAACCTGAACCGGAGAAAATGGCCATGACAGCTCCAGTGAGAGTATCTGGGGGGGCATCTTCCAGCAGCAGCGAGAGTATTACCATGAAAAAGACCAAAGTCAGCTTTGTAATCGGAACAAAGTACTCCTTGAAGACGGTACCTACCCCGCTCGACAACAAGGTCAATATTCGACAGGTCCCAGGTCATACCCTGGCTGTAAGGACATTTTCCGGGCCACCTCCCGCAGATGCTCGAGTGGAGAAAGAGCGGGCCAAGATAGAAACTGCTCTTGCCAAAGCGGGCCGACAAGTACCAGGGGCCAGCGAGGAAACACTCGTGTACGGCTACCATGATCCATTTATCACGCCTAACTTTTTGCGACGGAACGAAGTGGCACTGGTTGTGGAAGGTTCTGTATAAAGAGGTAGCTACTATAATGGGAACGTTATGAAATTGGCTTGATCCTCTTCACGACGGCGGCGACACAATCACAACTGGACATCAGTGGAAGTCTCCGTCATCTCTAAAAATCTACTAGATACGTACGGATCTCATCCATTCACTCCTCTTGAAAAGCAACACACTTTCCGCTCTCGGCGTAGGCTCTGCCATCGACGATATAGATACTGCGTTCGTCAAACGGGCAACAGAGAACCATGGGTCCAACAAAACCGAGGCAAAAGCACCCGACAACCGATGCTACCAAAGTATGACGTCCAACGTATTTTTGCGTGGTCCAGTATCCTCCATTTGCGATCCCCAAGGGAGGAGGTCGAAACGAAAATTTAGCCTTTTGGGGCTGGAATGTCTGAACAGTCTGAGACTCAACTGTATGAACAGACCCATCAGTGCCGGCATCGTCGTCGGAAAACGAGTCGTAACCGTCGGAATCCTCACTGCTGAAGGAATCGTTGCTCACAGACTCGTATTCGTCGGTGTCGGAATCAACCTTGATATCCTTCTCATCAAGGTCATCTGACATGCTCTCAATGCTATAGACGAGCACTTCCACATGTTGGGAATTCTTCTTGTGGGATTTGCACCCCACAGTGACACCTCGGACCAGAAAGAGTTCGTTGGATTCCTGCCATGATCCACCATCTTCCTGCCGCTCTTCTGCGCCAGTCTTCATGACCACGGCGATAACGTTTGTTCCAGGTTCCAACTTGAATTTCTTGTCCAAGAAAGGATGCGTCATTTTCTTCTTGGTTGGCTTTGCCTTGGCGTTACCCCTTTTTTCCCCCGAAGTCTTCTCCCTTCCCAAAAAGACGCACTGTCCATTGTACGAAATCGAAGTAACCTCCATGCCTTCTTCCAGTAGGATCGTCTTATTGGCAACCAAGCCTTCGGTGTGGATTTTCGTAATGATAGGATTGCCGTCCTTCATACCAATGGTGATGCTCACGCATTCACCGGTCGTGGAGATGCTCATTTTGTTTGGCTGTGCGGTAATGTTGTGCTTTCCGCGTATTTTAGAATAAGACGACTTGCAAAGGAATCTTATAAAGGCTTTCTTCTTCTTTATGAGATTTTTATGATACAAACTGTTGTTTGTGAAGGGAACTGAATGCCTGTAGTGCATTCCAAGACCCCCTCGGATGGAGGGAGGCTCCAAAAACACAGATGTGAAGCTTTTGAACAGTTGAAAAAGTGAGGCTCCAAAGGTCATTGTTCAGACGTGCTTGTGGAGGGTTAAGGTTTTGGCGTGACAGGAAACTTCGAAAGAAGGTGGTACCGGTACGGTAACTTTTTGCTATCTATCTTATCGCGCCGTTGCCGCTATGGTACCAGTAGTAGAAAAGAATGAAGGATTCGCCCTTCATCTTGAGCCGCAATCTTCTGAAGGACCTGCAAGAGCATTGCTGGTTGTTGGGGCCTCCAAAACCTGTCTATTTGCTTTGAGATCTCTGTTGAACATGAGCCAAGACAATGTCCCGCTGAACACCCTCTTGAGGAGCTTGAAGTTGAGTTGAAGCGTCGGTGAATCGAATCCGGCTGCTTCAGCTACTCGCCTATTGATGCAAGGATTGACTCACAATCAATGGTTCCGCAACTTCATCAAAAGCATCACCTAGCTAGCTAGAATACGCTCATTGAATCTCGTTACCGGCGCATGAAAGGATTGTCACAAACCACTACCATACTAGCTAGTTCAAGTTCGCTTTGTCTACACCACATCCACGGACTGATCCGTGATGAGACTAGAGGACATGAATCCATAGAACGACGGGGGCCGATTGGCAGAGTGATGACTCTGTCGCCGACTACTTCTCCGTCGTCTGGACCTTCCTGTCATTGTGGTCGCAGTCTCCTCCTCCATGGCTGCGGTCGCAGTCTCCTGCTCCTCCATGGCAGCATTGTCGTTTTGCTGATCTTCTTCTAGCCCCACCCAGTGGAACTTCCATCCCAACAAGGATCCACACCGCGCGCAGTACGTAATGGTCCAACTATACCCTGGAAAGTAGGAATTTTCCGTACTGGCGCCTCCCGCGCAATAGACTTTGCGATGTTCGTCTTCCACCTGCCGCAGCGTGACGACCTGATGAATAAACCCGTGTTCATTGACATAATTGCCGGTCGTTCCTTCAGCACCGCCTACGGTAAAGACACAATCGACGGTGGAGAGTGGAATCCGACACGCTTTGCAACAAATGGCCGTGGGACGGGAGGATGTGTATTCCGTCAAATGCTGTTGAAGCTTGACGAGTCGTTCCACCGTGGTGGGCAATTGGAGGAGATGATACTTTTCTTTTACCGACAGTGGCATTTGGGATGCCATCCAAAAGGAAAATGCCGTGGGGTGATCCATGAGTGTTGCCGTTTCGGGATCTCGCAACAGCTCGGCCAACGATGTCAAGAGACTGGACTGTTGATTATTGTTGTTGGAGGCTTGGATAGTCTCGACGATTCGTCCCACCATTCCCCAGGGCCATACTTTTCGGTAGGCGAGATGCGGCGTGGGTGTCACGAGTGCCAAGTGTCGAATCAAGGATTCATGGTGTGACACCGCGTACTTGGAATTGATAATTGTTGTTGCGGGATGGATGCGTGCCATTTTGCTGGATCGTCGTCGGGTGGAATGATTTCCAGTATTAAGGTGATGATGAAACGATTGTTCATCCGTCGATGATTCAAATTCCGCAGTGTCAATTAGTGCTGGATCTGGTGCTGGAAATTTCCGTCGAATGACACTGTTCAGTAGGCCAGTAGGATTCACCAAGGGACGATCATCTTGTCGAAAGGGTTGGACACGAAAGACTTGCACGTCGGCAAAACTTTGAAAGTCAATGTATTGTTGTACTCGAAATCGCGTAGTCCCGACGGCTTGGAGAATGAGTTCTCCCTGTTGTTCGGCATGTTGTTGCCATACTCTGGAGGAATTGTTTGGATTGTTGTTGTTGTTATTATTGTCCAAGACGGCATCGCCATGTGTATACGTGACCGTCGCAATGGTGCCCACACGGCCGACAAACGCATGTCGATTCATTCGTGGTGGAGGATTGTTGTTGTCATCATTGTCACTACTATCACTATTACTCGTAGTGTCATCCAAAATACTGTCTCCCGACAATTCTCGAATCAGAATCCGGGACAATCGTTGCTGTTGTCGTGAATTTCTTACGCCGCGTCGCAAAAAGGAGGATCGCCGCCGTCCATCTTCGTGCCGTGCTCTTGTTTCTGGCGGCAAGTCATCATTGTCATCCGCCAGCACCAAAATACCCAATTGCACGGGCCGTCCAAAATCGGACGATCCAATTTTGCGAGAGGCGTCAATTTGTTGTCCCAAGTGTTGAATCCACGCTCGATTTTGCAATCGAATGGGAATGGTGGCGCCGGGAAATAGTACCAGCCCCGGTAATTCGAGAATGGCAAGTTCCAACGAGGAGTCGTTGTTGTTGTTGTTGTTGGACAGAGGGTTTCGTGGTTGTACGTAATCTTGCTGTTGTTGTTGCTGATCGTTGTCGTCGTCATCTTCCACGCGACTGCTTGCCATGAGTGGATGAGAAGGGCCCGGTAAATAGGAGTGACGCTCTCGTGGAATCAGTCGTTCTTCTAAAGAGGAAGAAGAGGAAGAATGGGAAGACAGAGACGATCGAGTGGATTGTGCATCGTCATCTTCTTGACTCGGATGATCATCATGTTGTACAGCATCAAAAAACTCGTCTTCCTCTTGTTCTTGTTCCGGATGAAGGAGGTCTTGTTGCGAATCGCTTTGGTTGTTCATAATGGTCGCTTCGTCGTCTGGATCTGGAATGTCTGCTGAAGGATTCGACGACCGTCGTTTCTGCCTTTTACAAAAGCACAGCAGAGACTGAAACATTCACACAACTGACTAGTGCTGTGGTACACTTGACTGACTGACTGACTGACTGATCACTTGGGTTTTATTGTGATGGTCCTCTCAACACACACCAAAAGTTCAGAACAAGCGCCATTGTCGCTCCCTCAATCACGCTCAAACGGTCGTTCGTGTTTCCTGAAGATCCTTTTTGGTTGAGCGGGGTGAAATTGAATCTTTTGGCTTCTATTTCTGACCACTGTTAATTGTCCAGGGTAGCAAGAGATTTAACAACAATGCCGATTTCAAATGAGAAGGAATATCACTACGAATGACCCTTTAAATATTTCAACGAAGAGCAGTCACTACTTACTCGGGAGTAAAAAGTGGCACTCTATCTGACTGTCACGCGGAAGCTCGAAGAAGAGGCATCCGAGCTTCCCTTCCATACAAGAGCAACAACAGCAAGAGAGAAAAGCATTCAAACCACCTTGGTGTATCCTTCCTCTCATCTCTTCCCTCCTGCTTGTTGTGCTACTGTAGCTGGTGAGTCTTCTGTGTTGAATGAATTGTGCTGTATGGTTTGTGCGTTAGTGCTGTCTTGGTTGTGCTGGATCTTGTTGAATCTGCCGATATGTGACAGGCATGCAGTTGGTGCCGTTTTCTTTTGGCCACCGTCCCCTCCCACCTCTCCGGCTTGTTGAAGCGTTATAAATCCGAGTGATGACTCATGGAGAGCTTGTCTTCATCTCACCTTTGTTGTCATTCGGTCTTGTTGTCTCCTTTTCCAAAGATTGAGATTGGGTTAGACTATTTCTCTGTCAAATCCGGAACTTCCCTTTTGCTGCTTGATTGTCTTGTATTCAATCCAAGCAACATCTCTCGAGTGATTCGATTCGATTCAGTTGCAGCGACGACGTCAAGCACAAGTCAAAGCTACTAGCTAGGCTAGAGAAGAGGAAGAAAGAGACCAAGATGAACAACGACACCAAGTACGATAGTGACGACGATGATGTGGGTCCTCCTCCTGCCCACAACAATGGGGCGCCTCTCTACGACGCCAACCCCGAACGACAAGAACGAATCCGTCAAATGGTCGCAGCGAGTAGTCAGAGCAACGTGATGCAGGATGATCAAGTGACAGACTTTGTCTTGCGCATGGCCGAAAAGAATCAAAAAATGATGGACCAGCAGCCACAACAGCCACAACAAAAATCACCACCGCCACCGCGTCACACCATTAGCGACAGCAGCGAAGACAGCAACGGATCCGATTTGGATGCGTCCTACAACAACCATCGCATCAACCAACACAGCGAACGGATGAATAAGAACAAACAGAAACAGCGACACAACACGCCCGACGAGTATCCTCCCGGAGAAGCCTTTGAGGACGAGGCGGCCGAAATTCCATCGTACGATCCCAAAGAAGACGATGCCATTTCCTACAGTCGACTCTGTTGTGTCGCCTGTGCCCTCGTGATTGGCATGATTGCCACTTCTGTATTGATTTTGGTATTTGTCGTCATTGCCGATGGAGAAGATTCCACTCACAAGGCCCATCACGGAGGAAATTTTGATGGCATGGTTTTGCCGTTTGCGCCGTCCAATTTGAAAGAATTGTGTCAATTGACCAATCTCAAAACATTCCAGGGCGTACTCGATTGTCGAGAACCCTGTATGCGAGCGGCATGTTGTTGGGAAAAGGGAGAACGAGGACAACAACCCGTCTGTTGGGAATCTCATCCCCTCGAATGTGCCCCCTACGAATCCTGTGTCAATTTGTTGCAAGCCGGGACCGAACAACGACCCGATGGAACAGGGGGTCGTCCCACCAGTACCGTACCACGAGCGCCCGATGGTGTTTCGGCATGCCGGCCCGAAACCATTAATAGTGTCGATCAAGTCTTGTTGTGCGAAAATGCGTGTCGAGTGGGAGAATGGTACGTATTGATGGTTTGGATTTTTTTGTTTATTTGCGCGAGAATGTTTCTATTTTTGTGTGTGTGCTGACTCGACTCTTTTTGTGCATTATTTACGCTTTATTACTACAGCTGCTGGAAAACCGGCAGTGGTTCCCAACAAAAATGCCACACGGACCCCAACTGCGACGATTACAAACCGTGCCAAGTGTTGAATCAAGGAGGATCGGCAGCGGGCTCGGGAACGGGCACGTCCGTCGTGTCCACCTCGTCCGCCGAAAATATCCCTGCCGCACCCATCAATTTGAGTGAAGTTTGTAGTCAACAATCGGTCCAAGCGTGTGAATCGGCATGTGCCAAGGCGTCGTGTTGTTGGAAACTCGCGACGAACTCGTACGAAGGACCTCTCGGGGAAACCATTACCGAGTCGGTCTTGGGATCGTGTGCGCACGAAACGGTCTGTGATGGATACAAACCCTGCAAGGACATGCCCGCCGATGCACAAGCCAGCAGCAGTGCCACGGGTAGCACATCGGCGGCAAGCACGAGTGCCGGCAGTAATACCAACTTTCAAAACGTGGCCATTCCAACCGCACCTTCGAATTTGGCAGCTACCTGCACTGCGTCCTTGGAAGGAAGTTGTGCTACGCAGTGTTACAAGGCTCCCTGCTGTTGGCAGTTGCAGACACATGCCTTTACGGGCCCCTTGGGGGAAATTGTTACCGAATCCGTGCTGGGGGCATGCTCGCATCGCGAGGAATGTGCCGGATACGAACCGTGCAAGGCATTGCCCAAAAAGTCGCAACCCGGGGGAACTCCCGCTCCCACGGCGGCACCTGCGAACGTGGCGGAACAGCAAACCAACCTCGAAGCCGTGTGCGGTGCATCGCTCGAGGGAGTTTGTACGGATACCTGTAATCAAGCACAATGGTACGTCATGTCGTGGGGTGGTGTTTTTGTTTATTTCACTGCGATGGAACGTTTTAGAGAATCGAGTCTCACATCCATTGTTTGTTGTTCTGCCTGATTATTCAGTTGCTGGAAAATGGCCACCTCGACGTACACGGGTCCTTTGGGAGAGACCATGACGGAATCCGTCCAAGGAACGTGTGCTCATTTGGCCGAGTGCAAAGCGTACGAACCGTGCAAACAACTTCCCGAGGCATTAGCCTCTCATGTACATGAAATTGTACCGGCTCCGATGGACTTGGCAAGTACGTGTGCGGCAGCGCAGGATGGAGTCTGCCGTAATACCTGCAATCAAGCCACCTGGTAAGTCCAACTATGATATAATTTCTGTTGGGATCACCACCACTCTGATTCTAATCTACGTTACTTCCACCGAGAATAGTTGCTGGAAGTTGGCCATTACCACAATGGAGGGACCCCACGGATCTACCATTACCGAATCCGTGCTGGGTTCTTGTTCGCATTCGCACTCCTTGGAATGCGCAGGATATGAACCATGCAAGAAATTGCCCGAAGCCACTCATCCACCACCGGAAACAACACCCACCGCACATCTCAATATCCCGGCGGCACCGGATAATCTGACAGACACGTGCGATCGCCCCACGCTTAGTAACCTGGATATTCATTTGTGTAGGGAATATTGCAATGCTGCTACTTGGTACGTTAATTGAGTCGAGTGTGTGGAAGCCTCTTCCTTGCGAGGTCCTCATTTCGGTTAACGTTTGTGTTTGCAGCTGTTGGAAGAAAGAAACCCATACATTTGAAGGATCTTCCGGAGAAACAATTACAGAATCGCAACAAGGATCGTGTGCTCATCAAATTGAGTGTGAAGCCTACAGGCCTTGCAGCGTCTTGGACTCCGATGTTTACTCGCCTCATTCACCGGCTGTCGATCCCACCCCAGCACCGGCGCCTGTGGAAGCACCACCCACCAGCCGTCCTCCCTTCAGCAGCACTACCGAATACACCGAAGAAGTTATTTTCGACGTTTGTTACAATCACGAAGGAACCAAGCTTTGCGAACAAGTCTGCGATCCAGGCTCGTGCTGTTACAAGGCAGACGAGGACTGTGCCAACGATGGAAGCATCGATTGCGGCAAATACGAGCCCTGCAAAGTCCTGAACCAAGCCAACGGTAACGGCGTTCAGTCGGAGGTAGAAAAAGCATGCAGCGATTTGTCTGATTTGGCTCCGTGTGTGCAACAGTGTTCGAAAGGAACGTGCTGCTTTACGACTGACTTTGGAAAAACATGTGATGTTGCGGCGCCAACCATTGCATGCTCGGAGTATACTCCCTGTGAGGTTCTCTACCGCGCGTCCAGCAATCCATAAGTGGATCGAAGGGCTTGGATGGGAAGCAAATCGGTGGCGGCTCGGGTGGGATCTTCCAGTGTTTTCTATGTTGCATGAAATTTGATAGAAGGGGACGCATACTCCGTAGCATTCCTTCTAGTGCCGGCAGGAAATTCTTAGTCAATAACTTACATACTAACGCTACATACTCTCTCTGTGGACAGCTCTTCAAACAAAGCAGTTTTAGCTACTGTAGCTGATCATCTCTTTTTGCCTCCGCCTCGTTTCTTCCGTGCCGGAACACCCTTCCTGACCAAATCTATGCATCCTTTTGGCAATTTGTACTCTGAATTTTTGATGCCTCCATGGCTAGGACACAGTTTTTCATCTCCCAGCAACAAGGCTTCGATCTCATCCGCAAAGTTACCTCCCAGGACGATTTCGACGCAACCTTTGGGCAGGGCTGCGCCCTTTTCCGACTGAGTTTCAACCGTTGCCTGGCAAGCCAACCGCTTTCCAATGTCCTTTGCAAGAAGTTGACCATTGACGCCGTACGTCTCCATCCCACGAATTTTGGTGACAAATTTCTGCGGTGGAAGGAAGATTCTTTAGTGAGATCTATGCATAACGAGAAGCCCCCCGATGACATTTTTTACGAAATAGAATACTTGCCTTGGATTGTCGCATGGATACTTCCACTTGCACCTTGGGAGGTTTGCCTTTGGCTAGTTTTGTCACCTTGTTTCCAGGCATTTGAACAATGGCATATGCTGGATTCATGGCAGCAACCCAATTATCCGCCAAGTCTTTTCGTGACACTGTCAACAAATCATTCGTCACGGCTCCATCGTTGGCTTGTTTCTTCTTTTTGTACAAGGCATCAAAGAGTGGCCCGTCCAGTTGGACTTCATCAAAGTTGATGAGATCTTCTCGTTTCAGATAGTCTTCTAGCAAATTGCGCACTTCGGGCAATGTCAACATGCCCGTTCCGGCTCGATCGGCACTGGACGCGTTGGCGGCCTTGACGGCATCTGGGTCTAACCGCAAGAGGGCTACAAAATGGTGTGGAACGACATACAGATTGACCAATACCAACTTGAGCTGTTTGGATGCTGCCGCGGCCTGTGCCGTATCTTTGGCATCTTGGACTTCTTCGGCATGGTCTTGTTTGTAATCCCGCAATTCCACGTGTCGTTTGTCAAACGACACGAGATAGCCAGTCTTGTCCTTGTTGCCCTTGTTGGGTCCAGGACCCAGTGTCAATAGTTTGCATTCGACTTGTTCTTGTAGATAATTGCCAAACTTTTTGTATCTGGTTTGTTTGAGTTGGATTGTGGTGCCTTCTGGTCTATTTGGCAAGACGTGATTTGCGTAAAAGTTAGCCACCGTCATGGGAAGATCTTTGGGTGACAGACTGGTCAAGAGCGCCTTGCAGACGGATTGATGCAACAAATCTTCTTGTGATATGTCTGGTGCCGATTGTTCGGACGTCTCCTCGTTGTTTTGTTCGTGACTGGTGGATTCAGCCGAGGGGTCAGCTGTAGCCGGTTCAGCCGAGGTTTCTCCCTCTTCTTTTGTTTCCTTTTCTTCTGAACGATTCGTGTCGATTGTCGCTTTTTCAGTGGCATCTGCAGCTGTGGTCTCCCCTCTTGGCTGCTCTTGTTCCAAGTCTTCCTTCTTGACAATGGGCAGGACGGCTTGTCCATCGACAAATCCGACATTGCCATACTGTCCGTCATTGTACGATGCCCCACCGGCACTGTTCATAACGGATGGAACCGATGATAGCGTTTGAAATTCGTTGAGTTGCTGTTGCCACAAATCATCTCCATAACACGTCCACACGTGCGCCCCAATCCCCTTGGTACCAGGCCCAATATCCGCCGCCGACTGGACACCTTCCTGCACCAATCCCACGGCCATGGGTTGTGGATTGCCGGCAATGGCCACGGCGACGGGCCGTGGCAGGGGTGCTTGTCGTAGCTTGGCTGTGGCGTTCGATTCGCCGACTACTTGTTGTGAAGATGGCAAATTGAGCATTCCGGCGCGCATCAAATGAGCTCCTCGACAGAGATATTTCGAGGCGGGTGATGGAATGTAGACGGTGGCCATGCTTTCGGGTGGTAGTACACTCAACAAGGCGACGGTCGGCATCGCCACTTCGACTTGATTGGTGTGGGGCATGGGTGGTTGTTTGATCCAAATCACTTGGGCATTGGCGTACGGCCAAGCGTCCGTAGTATTATTGGATGGCGTTCGCACATACAACGTCAAGCGTCCCAATTCAGCATGATGGAGTTGTCGACTGGCTACTTGACCCATGACAAAGACTTGATCCAAAATGGATGCCAACAGCAATTGTTCCTGATCATCAGTCGTAGTTGTCCCATTATTAGAAGCGAAAAAGTCCTTGGCGGATTGTTTCAAGTTGCGAATGTCCGATTTGCGCAGTGGAGTGTCAATGCTGGCGCTGGTAGTAGAAGAGGAATCATTACTGGTGTTCTTATTGTTCTTTTTGCCTCCCTTCTTGTTGTTCTTGTTGGACTGTTGGGGTGGTGGATTGTTGGCCTTGGCCGTTGTGCACGACGAGTTGGGTTTGGAAAACATTTGCAATGAAGGGAACAGCGCTTTGACTGGCTAAAACGATTAGTAGTATGAAGGAGAGCTACTAAGCACAGACGTAATGGGTTCTAGTAGCTGAGAGTAGATGAGAGGGGCTCCAAGACTGTGGGTGTCCATTGTCCACGTCCCGATGTCATGGTCCTGACCAAAGATTTTTGTGGATCCAATTGAGTCGAATGAGTCATCTGCACTTGGGACGAACCTGAAAACCTTGGAGACAACCAACCCACTACTCGAGGAATCAACCCACTACCAGCTAGCTAGAGCATTGCCCTCAACTACCAGCTAGCAAGCTGAGGGCCTTTTGAACTATTTTGCCCTCAACTACCAGCTAGCAAGCTGAGGGCCTTTTGAACTTTATCTTGTGCGTGTGTGTGTGTAGGTGTGTGTACGTTGAGTGCTGTGTGAGATGTGTGATGTTTGTGTGAGATGTGTGTAGACACTACTAAGAGTTAATCTACGACGAATCTGTGTGTGTGTGTGTGTGTGTGTGTGTGTGTGGTAGGTGTGTGTACGTTGAGTGCTGTGTGAGATGTGTGATGTTGTGTGAGATGTGTGTAGACACTACTAAGAGTTAATCTACGACGAATCTGTGTGTGTGTGTGTGTGTGTGTGTGTGTGTGTGTGTGTGTGTGTGTGTGTGTGTGTGTGTGTGTGTGTGTGTAGGTGTGTGGTACGTTGAGTGTTGTGTGAGATGTGTGATGTTGTGTGAGATGTGTGTAGACACTACTAAGAGTTAATCTACGACGAATCTACCATTGGATGTTTATCCATGGGGTAATTGTTGGAGGTTGTATTACAGACACCTCAATACAAATTAGTCGTTTATCCCAATCTAGTTGATAGGGGATATCTATATCTATTCTCTAGTTACATACATGGGAGTTTAACTGATCTATATGGTCACCCCCTTCACTATATCCTTTGAAGTTGAATCAATCCCAGAAACATGGAGAAAGATCAACTTCTTGGAAATAGCTTAACAGTAAAATAACACTTACTTAGTAAAGTTTACTAGTTTTACTAAGTCTATTTCCAAGAAGTGATCTCTCGAATTCATCTCGAATTCATCTCGAGATTCGAGATCTCGAACATGGTGATATCGACATCAACCACCATTGAGTTTATGCTATAAGGTAAAGCCCAGTGTATCAAACGGTTCAGGCAAAAAGGCTCTAGCCTCACTGAGAGAGCTATCCCAAAAGCCTAACAGGAAAAAGGCAACATCACGAAAGAATCGTGCCTCACCACATTGGCTAACGCGGAGCGAACGGTCGTCAGAAGACGACCGAATCACCCAATCCCAGCATACTGCATTGAAAGAAATTACTAACTACTTCCACCTAATGCTTGAACGTATCCAACAGGAATAGAGTGAGTTTTACGTCCAATCGAGTTGAAGCAAGGAGCTCCGGATCAAGGACGAAAGCAAGCTCACAGGCGTGAGTCGGAAGCGAGCTCACAGGAGTGAGCAGGAACGCAACACGAACAAGTAGGCAAGCTTATCGGATCGACTGCATGCCATCGCGTCGATTGAGAACTGCCGCACTGTACGAAGCCAAGTGTACTAGTACGGAGACCAACCGGACGAAGCTCACAGGAGGAGACTTTGTGCTGCGGAAACAGCCATCGTACGACTGCTAGTGCAGTGCCGATACGAAAACCAACTACAAGATAAGACTCATCGCACGACGGAGTGCATGAGTGGTGGACCAGGCTAAATAGCTAGGAGTCCAACAGAAGAAGGCTCCCGGTGACACAAACCAGAGCCAAGGCTGGAGTACAGAGCAGAGGCTAATACTGTACGGAGCGCAGCTACGGCAACGAACCGTGCAAGCCAACAGGAACGCCACCAGAGGTGTTACCACGAAAGAGGAATGAGATAACAAGTTCCAACAGGAAGCGATTACTAGAGGTACTTCGGGAGTTCCTACAGCCTAACTATCAAGCCATCGGAACAGTGCCGATAGAGAAAAGGTGCAAACCCTTCAGCGGCACGAAACAAGCCAAATTACCAGGCTCGATTACAGAACGACAGGTCCTACGAGGACTGTCATACAACAAGGTGTCATTTGAGCAACAGGCAACAGGCCTGAAGAGTGCAAGCTGTCCGAACGCAACCGGCAAACGAGTTGCATCTATCGGCAACAGGCTGAATAAGAGCGAATTTGCAATTTTGCAATTCCATCCAAGAACAAGAGACCGAAGCGATCAACGATCGCTACTACTGTCAACAAGAATACAACAAAGAATTTGCTACTGCCATTAACGCACAACAGTGCCGGCAAGCAAAGCAATCGGCACCCAACGACCGAAGCTGCCGCTAACGGCGACAACAAGAACAACGGTGGCTACCACTAGGCCATCCGCTACGGCGACAAGAAGAACAAGAAACGCCCACCGCTACCACTAGCCAGTCGGTCTAACGCTGCAACAACAAGAACAGCGACTGCTGCTACCAGCAAGTCCTACTGCTGTTAAAGCCATCGCGTCATACTGATAGCGGCAACAGCACCATCATCGAGAAGAAGTAGTGAGACAGAAGAAGACTTTGTTTTTGTCAGGAAAGCGGCCTGCTGTCATCACGACACGGAACGCCAAAGAACAAAGCCAAGCAGTTCAGCGGCCGCAAGAAAGCAGTGACACTGAACGGGAAAAGGTATCTTTTGCGAAACAGTATCTTTCAAGGAGTGTGCGGAGCTTGATCTCCGTACGGAACCATCAAGAGGAAGATCCATGCCACCGGTACAGGAACTACCGGACATGTTCTGCACGCACACAGACAGCTAGCTAGCTAGCTAGCTACTGGTACGGAGAAGCACATCCAAGTGCAAGCCACTGGAGCAGTGTAAGCAGAACAGAGCTACAGGAAGCACAGGAGTGCTTCCACCAGCAATGAAATTATTTTCTTTGGAGTTGTTTGAGTTTACTCAACACCTCCTACCACTCATCCTTCATGGAGTTACCTGCTGGAGGCTGTTGTTGCTCAGGTTTGCCTGTAATCAGGGGAGGAAGTGCTGTTGATTAGTTGCACAATACACATTCCAAAAAAGGTAGTAGGAGGTGCTGTGGCTTGGATGCCACAATACAC